TGGCGGGGTACGTGCGATTGCTCGAATTGATAATGCCGACTTTGTCGTCGTTCCTTAGGTCCCCGGTTATGATGCATATGATTATCAGGCTCCACCACGGAGGCTCTGTGGCTGGCAACTCTATTAACAGGGTGCCACGCCAATGGGTTTGGTGGGACGATTGTATAACTCGGTCGGTGGCGATGGATGGTGCGAGGAATCGGTGCAGTATGAGTTGTGTTAGATCTCTGTACCTTGAAAGGCGCAGGTAGCACGACCTCGGGTGCATCAGATGAGTTCGAGGAGGTTGGTCGAGTCTGGGTGCTTGTAGGAGGAGCTTGACTATTTGGTGGCCTTCGGGTTTCAGAATCGACTGGTGCAGAAGCCACCTCCTCTTTCTCCTCGACATAAGCGAGGTTCTGCTCGGAATAACAGGTATTATTCAGTATCACGTTTCCTGTTTGCTTTTCAACATCTCGAGAGGTATTAGAATGGGCGAGAGCGCGAATTTGCGGATCCGCTGATAAAGGCAATGATAGGGGGAACGCTTTTGGAAGATATTTGCGAAGCGACGACAAGGAAGACTTTTGTCTTTGATGACTGGAAATCGATGGGTCTTCTTGACCACTGGGTAATTCTGCAATGGGAGTTTGCAGGCGTCGTTCGCTTATAGCTCCTGAGGTTCCAAAAGTAGGTGTACGTGAGATTGAATGTATATTGGTGTTACTTAGGGTACCGTTGTGTGTCAACGTCGAACCTGAGAATGTTCGGGCATTCTCCGATATAGGGCTCACGTCCGGATTCAATGGCAGCTTTTGATGAATCGTTAGAGGGTATTGGAGATTGGGCACGGTAGGTTTGTCGAATGCATGATCGGTGGACGATGGCCAATATGGGTCTCGAGTGCCGTAGGTCGTGTTGGGCCCGGGACAAAGATAGAGAATGCCATCTTTTAAAGTATCGCTTTCAAGGCTTGAGTTCGAGAAGATACTTTCATCACAGACTGATGACTGCTTTTTGTATACGCCCATGATTGACACATCATATGGACGCTCGCAGAGCTCTCTCGAACAGAAGTATAGACAAGTAGTAATGCTAGTAAGAAGATTTAGCAAGGGGCATCAGTAAATACACTAGTCTCATCACTTACAACGATATTATTGAGACTATGACCGCAGCCCGATGAAGAGCGCAGCTGACGCCAGTATTCCAAAAGCTACCCTTGGCAGTTTCAGGGAGGCAGGATGCCTGCTGTGAGATCACTACTAGGCCTGCCACACTAGCCGCTAGCCATATAATAACTGTCACTCGCAGGAGATAAGTGCAGGCGGCACGCAGCATTGTCTTCTGGCCTCCAAAGCCTGGGACTTTGTTATACTGCCATGCGAGAAGGCTATGAAGAACGACAAGTGGCACAGTGAGAAAAGACTGGAAATAATAGTCAGTAACATATGGGCGGACTTCTTTGGGGGGTGCACTGACAGCTACTAGAGCAAGGATCAAGCTCGGCGTCATTTTTCGGTCGACACGTCCATTTCCATAGAGATAGAGTACAAGAGCCCACTCAATGACGGATTCCAGAAGCAAGACATAGAGAGAGATAAAAATGGCGACCTTTGTCCAAGACCCTCCTCTTCTCGAGGCAATCTGCCCATTGGTCATGGTGAATTTCGCCGGTTTAACAAATGAAGCAAGCTGTGTCACAGCCCCCGCAAGTGTACCCGATGAGCATCCACGGTAAAGGATGACGGAGTGTGTATGAACAGTCAGGGCTACTTGAGAAGGAAGATAAAAGCTAAGAGCAGGAAGGATGATTCCGAATCGATAGTATTGGATGTTCCTCTTTCTGAGGCTGCAATTGTATGTATCTCTAGAAATACGAAGCAAAAGTGAAGGGTCCCTCAGAGACTAAATGCGAAAATAATCCATGACTTGGGCGCGTCAACGCGGATAAAGTGTGTCAGTATGAGGGGTTGGAATGCATTGGCAGGAGGCCTGGAACAGAGAACATGCAGAAGGCGAAATAGTAGGGCCTGCATCTTGCCTGGGACGTCATTCCGAGGAATGTAAACTAGACAGCCTTTTTTACCTCAGCATTAACATTGACGGTATCAGGGGTGTCAGCAAAGTCAATCATTGATCCCTATCTGTACAAAAGACGTTAGTCATCATGTTTTCATAGAATCAAGTATCGGACTATCCCATCGACACTATTCATCTTCCTTGAACTGGGTTACGGGGCGCATTCCAAGGGGCGATCGATCGCGTGGCGTTGGCACGATTAGGACTGTTGAGATACAAGAGAAAGATTATTGAGACATCTACATTGCTAGAATGTAGGAGAATCAATAGCTTGGAATATTGGTATCGTGGGATGTAAATGTTCCAGGGAGAAGGGCTTTTGCAATGAAGGGAGGCGGGAGGGTTAAAAAAGTATAGAGGAGAGTCGTGACAAGGGAGAGTGTGTGACTCCACGTGATCCAGAAACCCCCTCCAAGAGACACGCCCAACATACAGGGCGTCTCCTTCATAGGATGGACTATGTGGCGATGGCTACTTCAGATCTGTTGATGTCTTGCATCTAAGTATGAAGGGTGCAATAGACGCGAGAATATCCATGGGTCTTTCTCGAGTCGTACTAAATCCATTGGTAGACCCGGGCCGTGTCCATGAAACCAAGATTATCTAGAGATACAGTTTGAGACACACTTCAGAAAGTTATGGGACGATTGCGAACAGCTGGTCTCACGAGGGAATTAAGGGATATTGCTCGATGTTCTCTCTCACATTCAATACAGACACCTGTCTACACAATACATCTATTCGCACTGGTAGACGCAAGCCATATTAGACCTCCGTGGCTTGTATTTGCATAACCCCATTCCCCGGTGCTTTATTGTTCGACAATACGCCAACAGCTGCTGTGCTTTCGAGGTTTTCCACGCACCCATCAGCCTTCCGGGTCTTTAGTCGACGGACCAAGGGGTCGATCAATAGCCAACGCCCCTGCTGTTCGCGATACCGCATCATCACGAACCACACAATAACAACAAGCCAGTAGAGATTATATGAGATGACCGAACCATAGGTGGCAGAGTTTTGCCATCCAAGGATGGCATTGAAGATTCCCCATCCCCCGCCGCCATTCACCAAAGGACTGCAGCAATTCACATGCCACACGCTTTGTCGGATGTCATATGATCCAGGACCAGCTCCTGTTTCCGAGGCATCGCCACCGATGAGGTTGCTCCAAGTGTTGTTCTCCAAGAACCAGACGCCTCGGGACAGGAGTCCAGCAGCGACCAGGTAAAGCAGACATGTCGAGATGACCATGAATATTTGAAGTGAGGTTTGGTTCCCGCCCCTATGACACATCGCGAAGACTACGATTAGCATTGGGGTTCAATTTCAATGTCATCCGTATTATTAACACACTCACCGATAAATGATATAACCAACCACCACACCAGCCAGGATTCCCGTGAATACAGGTAGAGGGAACGCGCTTGCGGGGAAGCTGAGACTAACACCTCCGATAAACACCACTGCCTCCAGACCCTCCCGAAGCACTGTGATAAAGGGTAGGATAAACATGAAGTACTTCTGTGACCACTGCTTGATCTTTTCTTTCATTCTCCCTTGAGGTTGAGGCTTTGCCTCTAATGCCTGGGCCAGCTTGACACGCCATTTCTCCTGCAATTTATTCACCCGCAGAAGGGCTGCGCCCATGACCGTGATGATGACGGCGGCGACTAAAGCAAAGATACCTTCCCATAGATCCTCTGTACTGGCAAAATGATCCTTGCCATACCCGTAGAAGGCCCCAATCATGCCACCTCCAATACAGAGGCATATAAATAGCCCGACGGCAACTCCCCACCATACCTACTGGTTGTCAACACTATCTCTATATGGTGGGAACGGAGTGAGAAGAGGGCAGTCACCTGTTTGATCAGCTTTTTGCGAGTAACGGCATCAGTGTCTGACCCCAGTGTCTGCTTGATAAAGGCAAGCAATACAGAAACGATGATGCTGGTCTCAACACATTCTCGAAAGCAGATGAAGAATACTTCGGCAAGTTAGTCAAACTAAGCATTCCCTTCCTAACAGACGGGCCATAGCAAGAAATAACACATACTAGGAACTGCAAATACATCGGTTGTCATGTTGAGTAGAAGATAGGGGATTCAGAAGGGAATAAGAGAGGGCTACAGATGTACTCCGTACAGGAGTCCAGAAAAAAAAATAAATAAAACAACGGCACAACAAGTGATAAATAAAAATATAAAGATATTATGGTGAGACGGGGGGCGGCGTAAGAAAAGAACTTAAGCCACCACCGGCATAAATCGGGGAGAGATTATCTGATTGATTGATTAAAAGATAAAAAAATTATAAAAGTCAAAATCATGATGTGAACTTGTGACTGAAAGAACCGCGTCAAAAAACATGGTGCCAGCGACAGAGAGATCGCTCAACCCCCACTGTTTGCTCGACCATAGGTTAGAATCCTCGTATCATTACCGAATGTAAGTGCAAAGGCAAATTTTCATCTCGTTTAGATGTCCCTATTGGTCATGAGGGGGAGATATGGCCTGAGGACAGGATCAGATAAAGTGGGATCAGCAAGAATCTGGACCCTTTAGCAGTTACTAGTTTACGAGGGAGCAAGGGTTAAGCTTCCGCTAAGCCGTGTCCGATAATCACTTGGCTTTCCATTGACTCTTGAGTGGCCCCATTTGAGGTGGAGGAGGAAGGAAAGACACTAAGACGACTCGGGATAATATGCGCTCAGGGTTCCATGGACCATTCATTTATTACCAGTGATCATCCCTGCGTATGAGGGTTGACCATGCTCCCCGGGACCATCCCACTACCAGGTGCCCACACAGTTGGGATAAAATACGAGAGAGATTTCAAACGGAGGAGAGGAGCCTCCGTTTTTTTCTCTCTTATTCCTTATTCCTAACTGCTTGCGAGCATTCCATCTCCCAAGTGCGTGCGCTGTTTGCTCCCTTATCATGGCACTAGGGCTTTTCTGGTTGGTGGGTTTCCTTGTCCACATTCTCTCAGTGAGTGCCGAGACCCTCAATTATGAATGGAACATCACTTGGGTATCGGCCAATCCAGATGGCTTGCAAGAACGTCTTGTGATTGGTATTAATGGCCAATGGCCCCTTCCGGTGCTCAATTTCACCCTCGGCGATCGAGTGATTGCAAAGGTATACAATGCTTTGGGCAATGAATCTACCAGCATACATTGGCATGGCTTTTTCCAGAATGGAACCACCCATATGGATGGTGCTCCGAGTATAACACAGTGTGACATTGCCCCGGGGTCCACATTCGTTTACAACTTCACTGTGAGTCGCTTTAATTGTACAAGCTGTTGTGAGCCCTCGGTTTGACTGGAGGCGCAGGTAAATCAAACGGGCACCTATTGGTACCACTCACATGCTCGAGGCCAGTACCCAGATGGCCTACGGCAGGCGCTAGTGATCAAGGGTCCTGATGAGCCGTATTCTGACCAGTATGATGAGGAGCGTGTGATTACTCTATCAGAGTGGTATCATGACCCCATGCCGACCCTGCTGAAGCAGTTTATCAGTGTTACAAATCCTACTGGAGCAGAGCCTGTCCCAAAGTCTGCACTCATGAATGATACTCAGAACTTGACCGTAGCTGTTGAGCCAGGGAAGACTTACCTATTTCGTTTAGTCAATGTGGCGGCCTTCGCAAGCCAGTATTTCTGGATTGAGGACCATACCATGAAAATTGTGGAGGTCGATGGCGTATGGACTGAACCAGCTGAAGCCAGTATGATCTATATTACAGCAGCGCAACGCTACAGTTTCTTGGTGACAATGAAAAATGACACAAGCAAGAACTACGCTATGGTGGGAAGTATGGACACGGTAGGGCTCAATTCATTCATTTTTTCATTCATTACTCAGGTTCTTATCACTTGGTAGGACCTCTTCGATGCACTCCCTCCGACTCTGAACTACAACGTTACGGGATGGCTAGTCTACGACGACAAGGCTGAAAAACCGGGTCCGGCTGATATTTCATCATTCGATCCATACGATGACTTCGGACTTGTCCCTGCCGATGGTGAGAAACTATTGGGTGACCCTGACTACACAGTCACTCTCGATCTTTCCATGGATAATCTGGGAGACGGTGCTAATTAGTAATTATACAATCACTCCATATAATTAGTCACTTTTCATTCTCTAACGAGGTACAGTGCCTTCTTCAATGGTATAACATATGTTATGCCTAAAGTGCCAACGCTTTACACGGCTTTATCCACCGGGTCAGCTGCCACAAATTCCACTGTATACGGTTACAATACCAACGCCTTCATCCTGAATAAAGGCGATATCATTGACCTTGTCCTGAACAACGACGACACGGGAAAACATCCTTTCCATCTTCATGGTCATAATTTCCAAGTCGTCGCTCGCAGCGATGAAGACGTAGGTCACTATGATGCCAACAACCATCCTGCTTTCCCGTCAGTCCCGATGCGAAGGGATACTATATACGTGAAGCCGACAGGACACTTTGTCATCCGATTCCGAGCGGATAATCCAGGTGACTTCCGATTCCCATTTAAATTCGCCAGCTGATAGCTAATCGCTGACAGGTGTATGGATCTTTCACTGTCACATCGAATGGCACATGGACGCCGGCCTTGCGGTTGTCCTGATTGAAGCGCCATTAGATCTGCAACAGACACTTACAATTCCAGACGACCACTGGCAGGCATGCGATGCAAGTAATACCTTGAAAGAGGGCAATGCAGCAGGAAACACAAAAGACTTTTACGATCTGACTGGGGCGAACACCTCGGTTCCTCCACTGCCCGCCGGGTTTACTGCGCGAGGCATTGTGGCCTTGGTTTTCAGCTGCATTGCCGCAATTCTAGGTTTAATAAGTATTGTCTGGTATGTGTATTTTCCATATTATATTTTCTCAAGCCTTTGTATCGGCGTTCTTTCACTTGTCGTCTTTCATGGAGTAGCTGCTGTGTACTGACGGGTATACTAGGTATGGCATGGCACCGATTACAGTAAAACAATCGCCAACCGATGAGACGAGGGAAGAAAATAGTAATTAAATAAACTATATATCAAGTATGATTGAGATTTCGATTACTGCATCCATTATACTGTAGTTCACATATCAACTACACTTAGAGAGGCACAGACCGAGCGTATGTAATTTACTTTTTATCTCTTTTGACCTAAACAATATGAATAATAGTGTCATAGCCATGGACATTGGCTCTCTGGTTTACCCAAGCGGGAGAACCTAGTTTACACAGCAGCAATACACTCAATCTCCACATCCGTATTCAAGGGTAGGGTCTTAACTGCCACACATCTACTAAGGTGTCAGCAACAAGAACTTTGCTAATAGATTCCCAGTTTACATAAGAACCACAGAGGTCAAGATAGCAAGAGGAGACTTACGTCCGACAAGGCTTTACATCACCCCAGTACTGCATATAGACGGAATTCATCTCGGCAAAGTTATCCATATCAGACAAGAACACATTCACCTTGAGGACCTTCGTGATATCGCTACCTGCGGCCTCGAGAACATGGGAAAGGTTCTTGATACATTGGTGCTGGTGTCGCTCAGTAGTCTACTCTGATATCATGTAGGTGAATATTATGGGGACGCTAGGTACATACAGTGTGAGCTTTGATGTCCCCATCAACGATCTTGCCGGTTTCTGGGTCCATAGCGACTGCGCCGGAGCAATAAACGACACCATTAGAGACGATAGCTTGAGAGTAGATACCGGGGAGGGGCTTGGGGGCTTTGTCGGTCAGGATCGGAGTTTTGGTGGCCATGTTGATATAGGGTTTTGAAGGTTTAATGGGTTAAACTGATACGTAGTTGAGGAGAACGGGAGATAATGATAGAGAAGAGAGAAAAGAAGAATCAATTATATAGGTGAGGTAGCAAATTGCTCGGGGGCTCAATACTACATGTTGCTACCTCGACTATGGAGTAGTTGATTAAATACTAGTAGGTATACATACGATTTTACGCATGCGGGGAAAGTAACGATATACTCCATCCTCCACCCCCACGTCGACTTCGTGTGCCAATGACATACCAACCAACCCCACTTCACCTCGATTCCCTCCACCATCAGTGGCTGAAAATGCCGAGAATCCTTCAGATCGCTAAGTATCCTATTCATGATCGTGAGAATGCACGCATCTTCAAGGGCCCAAACTCAATCCCTATCAGGATATTGGCATGGAAACCCCCACGTCCCTTGCGTCGGAATGAAACCGTTAATTCTGGAATGTAACGATCTGCATGAGGAGGTGCGGAGGCTGATACGTAAGAAGGTAAACAAAAGGGCGCCGAATTTCCACTGACTCAGAAATCCGTTCACTCTGAAGTTGCACCCCCAGCGGCACAATACTAAGCTACATACACAATATGTCAATCTCGACGCTTCAGCCCCCTTACCCTCTCCATCCTTCTGTGAAGGACCTCTTGGATCCCGAATATATTTCCTTCTATAACAAGTATGTCATCAACCAGCAGCAAGTCCATCTCCAACCCGTCGAAGCCTCCCGAACAAGCGGGGTTCTAATCCCCGGCGGGGGTCCGCTCCTCGAGGTCGGAAAGACAGAGGATATCACGATCAAGCGACGCGCGACAGAAGGTCCAGAAATCCTGTTGCGTGCATTCACCCCAGCTGGGGAGACACCAAACGGAGGGTGGCCAGTGATGCTGTATTTCCATGGAGGCGGATGGGTTTTGGGTAATATCAACACGGAGAATCCGGTTTGCACAAATCTATGCGTGAGGGGAAACTGCGTTGTAGTCACGGTTGATTACAGGTATATATATATACACCAAGCTCACTATCGTATCTCGTACTGGGCCTGAATTACTCGTGCTAATAATGCAAGTAGACTCGCCCCAGAGAATCCCTTTCCCGCAGCCGTCCATGACTGTTGGGAATCTCTTCTCTGGCTGATTTCTGACGGGCCCTCACGACTCTCTATTAACACATCTAAAATGGCGACCGGTGGCTCCTCGGCGGGCGGAAATCTAGCCTCAATCATCACCCACAAGGCCCTGACGCTTTCCCCACCCGTCCATTTCCTCGCCCAGCTCCTCTCTGTTCCAGTGACAGATAACACAGCAACGGTTGAGAACAACGAATCCTACAGACTGTACGAGCACACGCCGGCCCTTCCAGCTGCCAAAATGATCTGGTACCGCGATCACTATCTACCCAATCATGGGGATCGCACCAATCCCGAAGCAAGCCCGTTGTTCTACGAGGGCGATTGGTCGAAGCTGCCGAGGGCATTGGTCATGGTCGGCGAGTTGGATGTGCTCCGAGTGGAGGGAGAGCAGTATGCGGAGAAACTGAAGAAAGCTGGGGTCACGGTGGATTTACAGGTGATGAAAGGCATGCCGCATCCATTCTTGGCGATGGATAAGGCGCTAAAAGAAGGGAAGAGATCGATTACTTTGATGTGTGACCTGTTGAAAGAGGTTTTTTGGTCTTAGTTGCATATTCTAGAGTAAATGTACATCGGGCACTGCATTTGCAATCGATGGAACTAGCATCCACAAAACACATCCTCTCCGTAATTCTAAAGGATATACATTACTATAGAGCTACTGGAGCTATCGCTTTCTCAGCATACCGAGCTCCATCAAGTTCGCTCATAAGAAGAAGGACAAAATAGTTGAACCGAAATGAAAATAATAGAATTCCGCCAGTTATTACTCCTAAATCCTGAGGCATCAGACGGGCAGCTCTACCTATCATTAGCAGCTCCCAAGTAAAGAACTAGTTATCAACATTTCTGGAATCGTTCCCTTTCGAATACTGCTTGTATTATCACGCATTGGAGGTCAGCTTCTATGAATACTATAGGCGCTAATCCGGTGAGCAGAGCTCGTGGCATCGAGCCCCAAATTCATCGCATAATATTCAGAGGATACGTATTAGAAAAACTGCCCAGAATTCGCAGATAATCGCAATCTAAATTCGTCGCCGAGAAGCTTGGAATGTCTCATGTGCGCCAGGTCCCTCTGTAATCCTTACAAAGCTTCGTAGTTCGTTTGATATAGAAACTAACGCCTCGACAGCCTCATGAGGTTACCAAGAGACGGGTGGTTATATTCCTATGTTCAGATCTAGACTGTCGAGTTGACTCCATGGGCTTTCAGACTATGTCTCCCAGATTCTCTATATACTTGACGTAGGCTGAAGTTCAGTTTTATACTTCACCAGTAATAGTGGTGAACCGGAGAATATTCTTGTAGAATCTTCACTTGATCGGGCTTTTCTACCTTACAAAAAGGAAAGAAAAATGGAAAATAAAGGAAAGGGGTTAGAGAATCAAACTGACTCACTGTATTTATTGAGTTTCCTTTGGTTTGCAAGATACAATTTTGAACACCTCAACCCAAGCAATAGAGAAATGAAGGATGAGAGCCCGTTCAAGCATAATGTGGTGAACAACAGAAATTAGTACACACAAAGGAACCAAAGTGCAAAGGGCAAGTGAACTTCTTTCCCATCAAATCGAGTGCGCCTCCCCCCGAAGATAGCTACTAGTGTGGTCCTGGTCCGCTGAAATCATCCCCTTTCCATGTCATAATGCCGAATAAAGCCGATGAGGAATAAATTGATTTCGGGAGGAGAATGATAACTCATATGAATATATCGTTATGCAACGCACGTTTCTCACAATATACGTTTAAATCGTAGATTACGGAAGGGTTAGACAAACACTGTTTCGAATGATAGGGCATTACAAAAGCCACATCTTACTACTAGATGCAGTCTATTCCCTTTAACCGAACTGATTCTATTAAATCAGGCTGTGATCCACCGAGGTTAGATTACCATTGCCTAAATCGGCAAGGTGCTATAGAAGCATTGTTGCATTAATGAGACCGGTGAGGCTCTTCGACGGAGAACAATGGATTATGGAACCCACGGCCAGACGAAACTAATCTCTACTAGGTTGGGGAGTGGAAACTTATGATAGTCTCTCCAATGTCGTCTACCTCAGCGGTTAAGCCTTCACATTCCTACTTTGTGGGCTCATTGTTTGTTTCTCAAATACGAACGGTGGGCTCGTTCATACCTCCACCATCTCCTCCACTAGTGAACCCCCTTTTCCCAATGGACCAGTGTGCTAATGGAGTGGAAATTTCGGTCATTCGAGTCGGACTAAGGAAGTCAATGAACGCCTCTTTTTGCTCCTAGTCGATAGCGTGAGGCAAAGAAACCGGATAGCGGATGTAACCTTTCCCACCTTTAAGATAACCCGTTTATCAGTAGTCCCAGCTACGCTTTGATATATGTTTATATACTAAAATCAGACTGTGGCTGTCTTTATGGCACTATGCCAACCATATTTGGTTGTTGTGTCAGGTACGCTTGGCAGATAAACAGTGTAGATTCTGTCGATCTCGATGATCCGGTCGTGGTTCCGGACAAGGACTGGCAATCAATTGACTCTCATGAAGTTAGCCTCGATGCTAAGTTTTTTTTCTGCCCCCCACGGCACCAATAGGGGATTTATTTGAACTTATGAAAACTGGGTTGGCATGCCACCTGACATCAGCCCAGGGCAAGAATCTGGTCATGTTGATTGGAGTGCCTGAGGAGTGGGGAGAAGTCCCGGTGGTCGACTAGGCCCGATCAGGCGAGTGCCAACTATCCGCTAGACTAGTTTCAGTATGACCCATGGAACCTCAGGCTCTTTACCTGCCACTAGTAGTTAGTCTACTGTAGCTTCGCCTACTGTCCTCCGGAGTAGGTCCGTGATACACCATCATGGTCAATGAATACCGGGCCGAACTTCCCTGCCACTGCAACTCAACGTCTGTCTTGCCACTACTAGTCCTGTACGAACTACTTTTACTACTACTCGAATGTATCCAACCATGTGGCCACAGGGTGCACGCATCACTGATCTCTTTCATTTCATATCATGTTACGATTAGTAAAAGTGTTCCTTAACTATCTCCCGCAGCTCTAGATCTTTTCAAGGAGAGATGTCAGTTCCACTCCGTTGTATGCCTGGTTTGGCCCCTCGTCTGCCTAATGTAGGCCCGATGACTGACCGGCCTTAGAAAATTTAGTCCCTGTCAATGCGGCTCTTCAGCGGAACTATGACCGTCCCCTCGAATCAACGTGAGTTCACTATTCGACGGCAATTTCCGGTGTGCATCTTGCTCCTCTCTCTGGAGCCACTCAGGGCTTTCCATGGTTCGAAGTAGTTAGCGCTTTAATATCGAGTTGCTCACTAGCACAGTCTTTTACTGCAATGGGAAATGCTGCCATCCACCTATTGAGTCCGCTAAGGCCTGGAGTCATGTACATTTCCTGATTTGCCGAGTACTCATCCTTGGACACTCTGTCCTGGTACTACCATGCAAATGGTGACTAAACGTTGGGAGATTGGCTGCTTGCCGGTTCCCCTGAGCATTTACGTATATAGTCGTCCTCCTCATCCATGAATCCTCTACAGTTAGTTCTGTGGCTTTGCTCGCGGCAACCAACCCTCCTAGCAGATGCTTGTCTGCGTCCCTTCGTTGTTATATTCCACGCTCGTTTGATAGCCTCCACTGGCTATTAGCCTGGCCGGTAGTCACTCCTTTTAAATAATGGTATTCATCAAAAGTCTCGCCGTCGCTACGGCAGTCTCAGCCGTCTCTCCTTTGGTGCATGCCTTCGACGCCCAGTCGAAGTCCAATGTTGCAGTCTACTATGTACTTAAATCTAAGCTGAGAATATCTCCAGCGTAGCATTCACTGACCATCTATAGGGCCAAGGGGCTAACCAGCCGCGCCTCAGCCATTTCTGTCAAGAGTCGGCACTAGATATCATCAACATTGGATTTGTCAATGGATTTCCTGATCAGAGCCCTGCCAATTGGCCTGGCAGTAACTTTGGCAACCAATGTGATGGACTGACCTACGAGATTGGCGGGATCAAGACCGACTTGCTCTCAGGCTGCCATCAGATCATGGAAGATATTCCCATCTGCCAGGCAGCCGGCAAAAAGGTTCTATTGTCCATAGGAGGTTCTACCCCCGACAATCAGGAACTCCTCTCAACAGAGAGTGCTATTGGATTTGCCGAATTTCTCTGGGCATCCTTTGGTCCCGTGGACGATACTTGGGTGGCATGGGGCGGTCCCCGTCCGTTTGGCAACGTATCCGTCGATGGGTTTGACTTCGATATAGAGCACAACGGTGGTTTTGGTATGTTATAATATGCGCGTGCCTCTTGAGGTCCCTTTGAATAAGTTTCAAAGACTAACTAATCTCAGGGTACGGAGCTATGGTCACCCGCTTTCGTGAGCTTTTTGCCCAAAAACCTGATCAGAACTTCTACCTGTCTGGGTCCCCTCAATGCCATATACCTGATAAGCAACTGAGCCTCGCCATTGCAACATCCGCATTTGACTTTGTCTGGGTGCAATTTTACAATAACGATGATTGTTCTGCTCGTAATTTCGTTACTGGGGAGGGTTTCAACTTTGACGCCTGGGTCGATATCATCAAGTCTGGCGGGAACCCAGCTGCAAAGCTCTTCGTCGGCCTGCCTGGCAGTGAAGCTGCGGCGCTTGATGGGTACTACTTGACTCCTGATGAGGTCGAGCCTTTGGTCAAAAAATACATGAGGCTTTATCCTGATACATTCGGAGGTATCATGGTTTGGGAAGCGACCCAGTCTGACCGGAACAAAATCAACGGGACTAGCTACGCAGACAACATGAAGAGAATCCTGACTGAACTGGATCCTACGCCTCCCGCTCCGACGAGGTCCCCTTCTAGCTCCGCTATCGCATCAAGCACTCTCATTCGGTCGAGTACTCCAGTCATTTCTGGAATACCAACGCTGTCAAGCACTCCTGCTCAGTCCAGCTCGCTAGCCGCTTCTTCAACCCCGTTGACGTCTAGCACACCTGGCCATTCTAGCTTTCCTATCGCATCAAGCACTCCCATCCATTCTAGCACACCTGCCCAATCGAGCACTCTTATTGTGTCCAGCAGCCCTACTCGGTCCAGCACGCCTGTCCGGTCTAGTACTCCAATTCGTTCAAGCACCCCTATTGCGTCAAGCAGTGCTATCCAGTCTAGCACACCTGTTCAGTCTAGCACACCTGTTCAGTCTAGCACACCTGTTCAGTCTAGCACACCTGTTCAGTCTAGCACACCTGTTCAGTCTAGCACACCTGCTCAGTCAAGCACACCTGCTCAGTCAAGCACTCTAGCACGGTCCAGTACTCCAGTTCATTCCAGCACTTTAGCTCACTCAAGCACCCCTATTGTGTCCAGCATTCCTGTCCGGTCTAGCACTCCCATTCACTCTAATACTCCTATTATATCAAGAAGTACTGTCCAGTCCAGTGCCCCGCCTCACTCAAACACTGCTACTGCATCGAGCACACTAGTTCATTCAAGCACCCTTATTCAGTCAAGACCCCCGTCATCATCAAGCATAATTGCCCAATCAAGTACCCCAGCCAGATCTGCAACTACGTCAACGCCTAGCGTCCCTCGTTGGTCGTCTACCCCGGCCACATCCAGTGCACAATCTGCATCTGCCACTGCCAGTCACTCGAGCTCGCCTATCAGCTCTATGTCTTCGCTAACATCTGGGACCCTGACGATATCGAGCTCATCAGTTTCCCCAGGGACACCATCTGCCTCGGCCATTCTGACAGAGACGATTTCGCCAATACCTTCCGGAACACCCATTCATTCTGGGAACACCGTTTCTTCCGGGGAGCTTACCTCGTCGAGCACTCCAGCTCCTTCCCCCCCGCCGGCCACTTCCGGGGGCCCAGGTCTGTCAAGCTCAGCAACAGTTTCCGAAAACCACTCGCCTACTAAGACGGACGTGTCGACAACGTCCAATTCAACTGGTATTCCGGCACCCTCCACTGTAGCTGCACCATCTACTACTTCTACTTCAAACTCCTCAAGCACTTCCACTACCAGTTCAGACCAAACAGGTCAATCCAGCCTTACCCAGTCGCATACTTCCCATAGTACTACTGCCTCCTCGTCGACCCACGCAGCCACATCGGCGGGCGCGGGACCGGACAACGGAAACGCAACAGTTACGAGTACGATTACTTCCGGAATAGCGACTCCTACCGTCACACCTACAGGTACTACCTCGGAGCCTCTCACTGTCACGACTGTTATCGTCACCTCGTACGTTGATATCTGTCCCACGGGGTTCACGACGATCACCACGACTTATACCACGACATACTGCCCTGGGACAGTATCCGCAACCGCTACAGCTACGAACCTTCCCTCTGGATCTGGGTCCCAGACCGCTATCTCTACTCCCCCTGAGGCTGGACCTCAACTGTGACTGTCTGTACACATTGTGCGCCAACACCAACTACGGTGACACTTACTCTGCCCGTGTCTACTACAACTACTCCAGCTATCACTGTGCCAGCACAGCAGACCACCAATGTTCCACCTGCTGAGGATTGGACCACAACAGTTACTATCTGTACAGAATGTGCATCAACGCCAACTACATTGACACTTACTGTTCCTGCCGCGGGAGCTGGCTCTAAATCCACCAACCCTGTCAGCGCCACCCCTGTCGAGCAGACTAGCAGCCCATCCGGACATGAAAGCTCCCTTAACCCCGTAGTTACAGATACTGTCACTAGTCACAGCCAGAACCTTTCGAGGACTTCTTCTGTGATTGTTGGAACAGGCCGTGCGCATCCGTCATCCTCAACCTTGGCTGCCAGACCCTCGACTAGTGGATCTCGAGTTCCTGTGGCTCCCAGCGAGACGCAGGATAATGTGTCACCCATCTTCACGGGTGCTGCATCGCCGCCTGCTAGACTAGGCCACGGAGTTGCTACTTTTGTCGCTCTTGTTTTGGCTGTATTCCTTTCGATGTGAAGCCTTCCGCTTCTATGACCATGGCCAATGCATTCGGTTTACTTTTCACTTCTAATTACCCCTCTTATTGAATTTATTTCTTGTTCCATTTCTGACTTTCCCCACGTGCTTTGTCCAAAGCATGTCGTTCATTGAGCTGATCAAATGACCAAGTAATGTTTATATGTTATGTACCGGAATGGAAGACGTCTGTTGATTATTTTCATTCTTTGAACTGGCTTTCTCCTGTGTGCAAGCCTTAGTCCCTCCTTTTTGTATCTCATGATCACAATAAAATCGAATGTCTCGTTACCGGGAATTATTACGGGAACCTGGTACAATACCAACAAGCTCTCGGCCAAGCCGGGACGATCCGACAGAACCAAAACTGTATTCGATACAAAGGCGGTGGGAGCGGTGGGGTCACCATTGTTTACTAGTATGAGGGCCAAAGGGATCATAGGTTGATCTTTATTGAACAGATGCCCCAGGGTCACCGCTGGTATGGAAACATGGTGTATGTTTGAAGCGTCCATTTCAGGGTACTGTACATACATAGAACCCCAATTCCGTGCTATACAAGCTGACTATTATAGTCTACTGTTATACAAAGTACGGAGAATGTTCATGTATACAGGTACCAACGCTAATGAATCATACCATCATGGGAACTATGGGTCTACCTAGCTTCGCTTCGCTTCAGCTATCGCTACCGTACACCCGTATTATCCATACCATACAGTGCTGAATTGTCAGGGTCCAGGTTGAGGATAGATCTGGGGCCAGGCTAAAGCCCCAATCTAAAGACTACGCCCCAATAGCAGTGCTTAATCCCCTTTTGCCCTTAATTACCCCTCCTATGTTTCAGCTATTTCTAGAGCATATATCTAACACCTCCTTTCCTTCCCCTTTCTTTACAATACTCCACTCTTCCTCTTCTCTTCCATTCTACGATCAGATCTTGCTCCTACCAGAACCACAATGGATTTCGTCAGCAAACTCGCCGAAAAGTTCCTCGACAAGGACAAGTCCAGCAGCAGCCAAGAAGGCTACGGCAACCAGGGCGGATACGGTGGACAGCAGTCCGGAAGCTATGGCGGCGGCTACCCTCAACCGCAACAACATTCAGGCCCTCAAGTGTCTCCCCCTTGGGTCGCCCGGTGGGATGAGCAGTCACAGCGCTGGTTCTACGTGAACGAGCAGACCGGCGAGAGGACCTGGAACCACCCAGGCCAGGGCGGTGGCTACGGACAGCCGCAGCCTTCCTACGGTGGCGGTGCGCCTTACGGTGGAGAGCAGTCGTATGGCCAGCAGCCCTCGTATGGAGGATATGGTGATTCGCGCCAGGGAGATTACTATCAGCAGCAGGAGCCTAAGAAGGATCACTCTACGGCGAAAATTGCGGGTGCTGCGGCTTTAGGTGTGGCTGGTGGAGCGTTGGCAGCGTATGGTATCCATGAAGCGCGTAAGTCTTTTTCTCTCCCTTTACCGCCATTTCTCGTTTCTCCAGGCCGGGTATCCCCATGTTTGTTTGCTTTGCAACGGGACTGACGCGTACTAGATGAGAGCTGGGAAGAGAATAAGGAAGAGGTGAAACAAAATGTAGAGGATTTCCCTGAAAATGCGGCGGAATGGACCGGCGAAAAGGTATGTCTTTGCCTTTTTCTTCTCTTATGCCTCTTTTTCTTTTTTATTTTTTTGTGAATTGGATTCATGTTTAATCGGGCATGTTCGGGTTACTAATGTATGCATCAGGTCGGTGAGGTCGAAGCAGGTTGGGATCGCGCCGAAGATCGAGTCGAAGAAGGCTGGGATCACACCGTCAATGCGGTTGAGGACTTCCCCGAAAATGCTGCAGAGTGGACTGGCGAAAAGGTCGGAGCCGTGGAACGGTTCGGTGATGATATGCACGATGCATACGAACGGGGAGAGGATGAGGGCCGCCGTGACGACGATTGGTAGTTCTGGGAACTCCGAAGTATTCCTCGGTCGGATATTGCAGGGTTGGGTTTAGAAGAGATCTTTTTATATTACTACCACTCGAAGTTGGCTCTATTGAAACTCATGGGACTATTCCCTTTCGGGAACATTCAGGGGACACCCCCCTGTTATGTCACTATTTATGCAAACATTACGCTCAAGCATTCATACCTAGGTAATAAGTAGTAGCATCTGGCTATACACCGCAGGATCAAGAGAAGGGAAACCGAAGAGGAACTTCCTCTTGACCACACGCTTCCCCGCACGTGTCCCCCGGACCTCGGTTGCGGAGTGTGCCTCAGCATCTTTATAATTCAAGTATGTGATACTCGTCACATCGCGGTCAAATCTTCTGTTTTTCCTTTTCTAGTTGGAAGGGGTACCGCTTGTTAACTTCAGACCCAAGAGTTGACCGCGTAACTGTCCGATCAATTCATACAGAATGTCCACCACACTACCCCTCGCAGGAATTCGCGTGGTCGAGCTTGCAGGCCTAGCTCCCGGTTGGTCTTGACCGCAATTTAAATCTGCCGGTAGTATGCCGGTATACCTAATGCAATTACGTGTTTTACTGACTGGGACTTACAGGTCCATTTGCTGGACTATTGCTTGCAGATTACGGGGCGACCGTGCTGCGCATCGATCGGCCAAATGCCGTGAGCAGCGATCAGTTAACGCGTCGGAAAACCTCGATCACCCTGGACCTACGAAACGCAGCATCGCACAGCGTCCTCCTTTCGGTGTTGGCCAATGCCGATGTCCTCATCGACCCTTACCGCCCCGGCGTCTTAGAACGCCTGGGTCTTTCCCCATCGGAGGTCCTCCTGAAGCTTAACCCTCGCTTGATTGTGGCGCGCATGACGGGATTCCGACGAGACGGTAAATACAAGCACATGGCGGGTCACGATATCAACTACATCGCGGTGTCGGGTGTCCTCTCCATGCTGGGGCGAGCAGGCGAACCTCCTTATGCCCCGGGTAATATCATTGGCGACTTCGCGGGCGGAGGTGCCATGTGTTTCATGGGGATATTGCTGGCTCTGATGTCTCGCACACGTACAGGACGCGGCCAAGTCGTAGAGGCCAACATGGTCGATGGTTCCGCGTACCTAGCGGCGATGCCGCGACTGAACCGACAAACACCGATGTGGAGCGAGCCTCGCGGACAGAACACCCTAGACGGCGGCAGTCCGTTTTATGACACGTATGAGACCAAAGACAAGGGCAAGTATTTCGCTGTTGGAGCGTTGGAGCCCCAATTTTATGCTGCGCTACTCAAGGGGCTCGGGTTCGGTTTGGAGGAACTTCCCTCACGCGACAATAGAGAGAATTGGCCGGCGCTCCGAGCGGCGTTTGCGAAGCGATTCAAAGAGAAGACGCGAGCGGAGTGGGAATCTATTTTTGACGGCACTGATGCTTGCGCGACACCAGTCTTGGAGCAGGATGAGCTCGAGCAGGGGGGCTTTGAACAACGGCCTGCCGTTCATCTCGTTGATACGCCAGCACTGCCCATTGCGGCCGACGATGGGGGCTGGACGGGGGGTGGCCTGACCCCCGGGGAAGGTGGACAGGAGACGTTGGAGGCCTGGTTAGGATGGAAAGAGGGTCGCGAATATGATGTCAGATCCGATGGGGCCTTGATGAAGACTGGAGAGGAGGGGAAGGCGAAGCTGTGAGGATGAGACGATGATACTAGTAATACAAGGCGAACCAGATAATACGGTTGTATGGGTTGATCAACTTGATTGTGTCCGCGGTTCGGATGAACTCTCGCGGCCGTAGGGCTGAGGTCCCGTGCACTCGATTTGGTAATCAACCCCCTCATCTGATGGTCCGACTCGAAATTACTGCTTTTGATCAGTGGTGCTGTCATTGACTTTTGAATTCAATCGGAAGGGCAGTGCATTAACGTTGTACCTATTACTAGTTTGATGTCTAAAACCAGAGAACGAGAAAAGGGTAAAAAGGCCAAAAAAGAAGAAAAGGCAAGCAGCACTAAAAAAAAGAAAAGAAAAGAAAAGAAAAGAGAAAAAAAACGTTTGTCATCTGGGACAACTTTATGCACCGACACTTTCATCCTGTATAAAATCGGTCCAACTGATCTATTCCGTATCTACGTCCAATCTCCTGTGCGTGATTAAAGCCAAGAAATAAAGTAATTGAGAAAAAAAAGTACAGGGTGAGACAGTCCGATTCATGGCGAGCTGAAAGACCCATCCCAGTCAGCCGCTGGTTGGAGGAACATGTTACCGTGCCAATGTATGTAACAACACATGTTAACTTCGCGGGGATTGATTCGATACCCGTGTCATGGTCACGTCATTATTGGTTATTTCCGTCCGGAATCGTGCATCCGTCCTGAGAGATCAGACGCGATAGGTTACCACTGGAATCAAGGTCACAATCATGCTATGGAGGCGTACTACTGGTACGGAGTAATACTACCGTATCTCGGGCTTGTCCCAAGATAACAACCAGACTTGGAAACTTGGAAGCACTGAGGGGTAGGAAAATAGTTAAGTCAATAAAAATGAAAAAAAGAAAGGAAAAGTAACTTTTGCAAAACTAAAACGGTGGCCCCAGCTGACAGGTACGATGTTACTTACATACCCTGTACAGTATAGAGTACTACCGGTACCTGGATCATTCTGAGTCCCCTCTCCCCCCTTCCATTTTATGAAGCATTCCTGCCTTGTTACCACTCATCGGTTCGAAGCTCGGACATCTAACTACAATTTCGGCTGCTTCATTTCCCGAGCCTTCCGGATGTTTCATATGTGGAGTATTCTACGTCATTCATCTGTGTTGTGCTGTGGTTCTGGGGGGAAATTTTTCGACTGTTCCTAGCGGGTGACTAAGGGTACTAGTTGGTACTGTGTACCTGTACTATTGTTCCCCTTTATTCCTGCGTGGGAGTACCATGTACGGGCTCGGTACCTAGTGCACTCTGTAATATTGCCTGGTATAGCCCAATACCAGCACTGTCCCACCACGTGCGGGTAGGTGTGGCGCAGTCCGGCCCTATCTCCTGATGATCTCTTTCGGATCCGCGATACGGTCATTGCCATGGAGCTTTGAAGGCCAAGGTCGGTTCTGAGCCACTTGGAAGTTATGACTGGTCCGATGTCTCAGCTTCCCTTTGGTGATCACCGAGTGGTTACCAAGGTGTGGATGAGTCGTGGCTGTGCGAGAAGGTTTGACCCCATCTCACTATTCATTGTCCGTAATTTACCTCCGTATTGCACACTTTCGTATTCGGTACCGCTGGCCACTGGGGCCCGTCACACTTGGTTTTTGCGCCTTAAAGTTCTCTCCTCTTCTTTTTCTTCCTCCCCGTCGCAAAGAGCCGAAGCGACCGATCGCTCTTCCAAGTTCTGAATGCGCTGTAATTTATTTCCTGTCTTTCTCCTCTTTCTCCGACCTTGATAAACAGACCTCCTCCCCAGCGGGCAACGTGGGATCGGTGCTCCTTTGTGTACAATCGCTGTCGTCAGCTTTGTCTCGAAATTGACCCCTCCGCCATACATTGAATCAATGTCCCCTGCAAGTGTGACCTGGTAAAATTGGGTACCCGCCAAGTGCCAGGCAAATCGTTTCTCACAGCATCACTGTTGCTACGGAAAAGTAGATCTGACAGCCCTTCCTGGCCTTGCCAACAAGCTCTTCTTCATCCTTCTTCCCAATTACTGGCATCACTCACTTGCACGGCTTCCTCCTGCACCGGTCCCTGTTGCCAGTACCGTACAACAACGGAAGCGCTGGCCGTTCATTGATCCGTTACCTCCAGGGCGGCTCGGCTTGCCTTACGTATCCCCTCAATTCACACTGCACGGCGAGTACGACGCTTTCTATATCCCCTTCAGAGTATTACCCCCCTTGGGTAGTGTTGGCCGGTCTCTGCCGCCATTTTTGGACGGCGTAAATAGCCTCTCCCTTTCTTCCGAGACTCCTCTGTCTCTTTTAAAGATACATGGCAGGCGTGCAACTGCAACAACCCACCATGACCGACTACCGATTGCCGCTCCATCAGCCACCACCTGCTCGGAAACCGGTTCCTGGGATGCATGCTGGTTATCCATTCCAGTCCTATGATGGACCTCATAAGCAACAGCTATCTCCTCACCCTTCCCTCACTCACAATCGGGGCCGGATGCCTTCGGCCAGTGCGTCGTCGCCCTATCTGGCTCAGCAGCAACCGTACTCCAATACCCCTTCGCCACATCATACCATGACTTCTACTCCTAGTTACCCTCCTTCGAGAAGAATGTCGAGCGCGACGACCTCCACGAGCTCGACTGGCAACGCCGCGGGTCACTCCGCCGTTTCCGATATCCGCAGAAGCACGTCGTCACGTTCCGCCAACTCTCAGCTGGGTTATGTAGCTCTGATGCGGAGGCAGAAGGCCACGGTGTGGTGTGATCGATCACAGCCGGAGGATCCCCGACTCCGAGCCCAAAAGCTTGCCGACAAGAAGAGAGCGTACCTCGAAGTCCATGGCGCAGGCGCCGGTGGACGGGCGGGTACCCTTGGAAGCGGTAAAATTAAACACTCCAAGGGAGGCACTGATTTCTCACCCTCAAACCTCGTGTCGGCGACTGTTCCCGTACGACTCAGTGCTAATGAAGTGGGGGATGCAGATGAGGATGCACACAGCGATTATGGATTTCCTCATCGTCGCACCGGCAGCGGTCGCAGCTCTTTGGGAAGTAACCACCGTTATCCCAGTGGCTATCAGCGGACGCCCCAGGGCACCGTGGGCAGTAACAGCACTTCTCCGAGCGAGAAAACGGATTTGCCTAATGTCACGGAGCATCCGCCGGCGGAAAGCACCGAGGAAAAGAAAGTCAAAGATGACGCCGCTACCACCTACAGCTTCGAGGCCGCAGATGAGGACAATTTCGGGAGCGTAGGGGAGATGGCTGCCCCCAGTGCAGTTACCACGGCGGCCGAAAAGGCGAGGAGGGCGGACGAACTAAGACGGCGAGGTAGTGTGGACGATCGCACGAGCACGATGACCAATGTCCGACTTTTTGTTGCAAATCCAGACCTCAGTGATTAGTGGCACTTTGTATCGTCATATATCGCATTTATCTTTCGGATCTATACTCACGAAAATACCCAGCTCGGCTGAAGTTTGGCAAACAGTCCGACCTCATGCAGTTTATGCCAACCTTTTTTATCTCTTTCTTTTCTCTGCTTCTACCTTACCCTTCTATGTTTCTTCTCTCCAGGATTGCTCTCGGCGAGTAGTGCTCGAGCCCGGCCTGGATCCCGGGGCCCCGTACCTCGGTTTTGTGCTGCGTGCAGGCAGCCTGATGCATTGCGCTTCTTGTTCTGTTTTATTCCCCTCACTGCATGTTTTGGCGCCTGTGCTTCTAAAGCATTGGGTTGCGTGCTACTGATCTTGTATCAGTGGCACCTTGGGCGTCTTTTATGGATTTACGAGCAGCTAGTAATAATAATATCGTCTGTACATACTTTGCAACCTGTGCTATTAGTGGTGTATATCGATTCAATTTGCGTGTAGGGTTGCAAGATTTATTATACCCTTAACAAATTAAGTTGAGCTACATTAAACAGACTACAATCTAGTACCCTAATGCGAACGTTGAAGCAATGAACAAGTCTAAGCCATAGAAACTACTAAGTTGGTTGCTTGGTTGGTTAGAATACTATCATTCCCCCAACTTACATAATCCCCCACACGTGCCCCTGACGCGAAGCAGTCGCGCCCGACAATCCAATTAACGCGTTTCCGACTCAACAACCAATCCCTCCGATGACATGCCAGACCGAGGGTTCTATATACTGTCGCGGAATTGCTTTTCCATTAGACTATCTCTATTGACATATTATTATTATTAGTATTCTACGAGGCGAGACTGTACGTTGTTTGAGTCATTGAGGGGAGTTCTTGTCATTTTCCTTGTTCCTGGTGAACTGACCCGACCCAACCCAACCCGATTTGTTCGATGTGTGAGAGTACCGACTTTCTACCCTTGACTCCAGCCCCCGGTTTACTTCAACCTCATTTTTAAACCTGTCTTGAGTAATCATTACCCGGGTCCAATCCCCCAACAAGAAAAAAAGGAGGGAAGGGAAGGAAAGAAGGAAAAAGCAAACGACTGAAAATGGAGGTCTCGATGGACACAAGTCCAGCCGCCGCGCTCTCTCCCCTCCCCCAATCACAATCACAATCGCAGCAACCATCATCAACGGCGACATCTACAGCATCCTATTCTGCATCTCCGACGACCTCCAGGAAACGTTCCGTCCAAGAAATCGACGCACACGCCACTGTTGACCCCTCCGACAAAACAAAATCCCCAACATATACCGACAAAGAAAACCAGGAGAATGCCGATCCCTCGTTACAAAGTTCTACACGTGTGTCCCCTGTCTTGGAGATGAGCCACGTATTGATTGTAGGTGGGGGCGCGAAGCCCAATGATGAGGTCCCGGTACGGAATACGAAGGAGGCTACGCTGGGGAAATCGGTTCCTAGTCCCGGATCAACCCATTTGTCTACGGATGCGGGCGCGGATACCCCTGCCGCTAAGAAGAGGAAGCTCTCTCCTGCGAGTAAGGAGGCTAAACAACAGGAGAAAGAAGCCAAGCAGCTGGAAAAGGAGACCAAGGAACGTCAACGATTAGAAGAAAAGGCAAAAAAGAAGAGGAGAAGAGAGTGAAGGAAGAGGAGAAGAAAAACGGGACGCTGAGCGAGAGGAAGAACGTAAACGGAAGGAGGAGAAAAAGAAGGCGAAGGAAGAGGAGAAGGCTGCGAAAGAAGAAGAAAGAAAGAAAAAGGAGGCAGCCAAAGAGGAGGAGAAGCGGGCGAAAGAAGAAGAAAAAAGAAGAAAGAAGCAGCCAAAGAGGAGGAGAAGCGGAAAAAGGAGGAAGAGAAATTGAAGAAGGAGAGAGTAAGCTTCCTACACCGACAACTCAGGCCCTCATGTATGGCTCGTCTAACAGTTCACTCGTAGGCTCAACCCAAGCTGAATGCCTTCTTCGCGAAACCAAAGCCTCCTGTGCAGCCCTCAAGCTCAGCGATTAGTGCGTCGCCCAAGAAGTCGTCTGGGGGTGATGACACAAATGAACCCTCTCACGAAGCTGGCACTGTGTCAGATTATCAACGAGCATTTCCTGAATTCTTCTTACAGTCTCACACGAAAGTCGCCCCACCGCATGTGTTTCAACGTGATCCAGAGGCCCTTCGACTAATGAGAGAGAAGCTTGATGCGTCCATGAAGTCGTCTAATAACTCAGAAGAAGCTCTTGTATTTCGGCCTCGGAAATTTTCAACATGATGCCATACAAGCGACGGCGAGGAAGACTGCCTGCTTCTGTCAGGGAAATCCTCCAACAGATTCAAAGCCTGGACGATCAAGCAGGGACGTCGGAGGCTGTACAGCGACAACGGGGTCTTCTAAAGGAGGTCCGAATGAAATCTCTGAGGTTTGGTGAAGATGTCCGACCCCCCTATCAAGGAACATACTCTAAGCCCCTGTCCGAATCGTCGGCCTACAAGATGATGCGGAACCCCTTCTACCGCGGCTTACCTGAGACGAATTACGACTATGACTCCGAGGCTGAATGGGAGGAGCCGGAAGAAGGCGAGGAACTCGACTCGGAGGAGGAGGAAGAAATGAGCGAAGACGGCGAGGACGACATGGATGGCTTCTTGGACGATGAGGAAGACCAAGTGGTTGATGGGAAGAGACGTCTTATCGTTGGCGATCTAGAGCCCGTCTGCACCGGCATTCAATGGCACGATCAGGGTGTGAAACCGGAGTTGAAAGCATACAGGGTCGAGACCATATCAGATGCAGTGTCGTTACCTATTGACCCATTCTCAACGGTGTACTGGCAAAAACCCAAGGCATCGGAGCCAGCTCAGACCAGTGGTGCGGGACGATCATCGCTTCACTCTTTCTTGGGTAACCCGAGTGCGTCGACGCAGGACGCAGCGCACTGCCACTGTTGGGGTCCGGGAAATCCAAGCGACCCTTCCCATCGGAATTGCTGGCGGAGTTCAAGCAAGTTGTGGACGGAAGCGATCTGTCGAAGTTAGGGTTGATCGAAATTCTGAAGAAAAGGTCGGTAAAGCAGGGTCCCTTCAGTTTCATCTGTCGCTAATGATAACCCCAGGTTTCCGAAGGTTTCTAAAGATGCCTTGAAAGACACGTTGAACAGCGTGGCTACTCGGGTTGGACAGAAAGAGGCTGAGAAGAAATGGGTTTGCAAATAGTGATGGTATTGGAGGAGACATGACAGCAAGCGTTCGATGTTCCGAAGAAAGACAACGCATGCCACGGATGGCTGGAGTTCTGGCGTCAGGTTCACCTTGGGTTGTGCTGGGAATAGACTACCCTTGAGGGAAATTTATTGGTTGCGGGTACTTCAGATCCTCAAGTACCAGTGGAATTGCATGATTATTCGCAGCCACTGGTTTGTTTGCGATTGATGTGTAATGACGGCGATTGCTTTAGAGGGCCAGTGCAATGGGAGCTGGACGTTGATATTGTATATGGAGATACTATACGGAGCCGGGTTATTAACTACATGGGCCGCTATTTTTTTATTTATTTTTATCAATGATACCTCCTGCACATCTACAAGGGACAAACCCTAACTCAGTCCGACGTTTGAGAGGAAAGCCGGGGAAACGCGTAAAAAATAAAAATAAAAAAAAAAAAAAAAGGAAAGAAAAGAAAAGAAAAGCAATCAGAAGAAATGAAATAAAATAGAAGGTGCTAAAACTGGATCACATCGAATAGTTCATTTTTCTCAACCATAGCTGTAGTGTGTTGATGACACGGTAGGTGATCATGCAGTTCTAGACAGGAGCATGCGTGAGCAAGTATGAGTTGTTACTGAAGGTATGGCGATTGGCATGCAAACATGACTGGGTTCAAGTGATTCAGCTGAGGATATCATCTGGACTAGACTGCTTTAGGGCTAGTCGGGGCAAGTTGATCAGTGGCGGTTGAACACGTGCCAGTGGGGTTCTGGAGTCATTAGGAAGAATGATTAATACGAAGCGGCGATGTTTGGGACTAGTTTATTTGTTGTTGCTGGGGCATTGATTGCTGTTGATTCCTTTAGTTTTCTTTTTCTTTTCTTTTTCTTTTACTTTTGGGTTCGGTCTTTGCTTTGCTGTCACTGCGGAGTAGTTTCGGCAGTACTAAGATGGATATCTTCCTAGTTGCAAACATTCGGAGGAATTCCCACTATTCATACTATCTAATGATCCTTCTAGGAACCTGGCACCGTTACTAGTGGACCACTAGTATGTATCTCACCTCTCTTAGATGACTGAGGGAAGAGGGGGGGGAAGAGAAAGTAAGATGCAGTTTCATGCATCCCAACCCCCAGAAACAGGAAATGGACCAGAAATCCCCTCCTAAACCTCAAGGCCAGCAGTAAGGGGTGGTTGGGCAACGAATCATGGGGCACGGAGGGAGCCAACCGGAGCCATCATGCATGTATGCAGTGCCAACGCATCACTGACGGTTTAACTCTTCCTCCTTAGGTACTTAGTTTGTACTTGTCCCCGACTAGTTCCAAGTGGTGGTACATACATTTCTGAACTGTACAAGTCGTCTATGTATCATTCGACTCGCATTGATTGTGTTGCGATCGTCCTCGGCCTTTTGTAAAAAAGAAAAATAAAAAATAAAAAATAAACAAATTCTACCTTTTTTTTTTTTGATTTTCTCTTCCTCGTCTTCCGTTGCTCTCCCGCCATCTGCCATTCTTAGTACCTCGAACGAAATAATTGAGTAGAAATCCCCTACGCGGGACGGAGGAAGTGGGGGGGGGGGCGCTGTTCTTAGTATAGGTATTGATGATTTTGCAGCAGAACAGGAGAAAGATGGTGGGATTTCAGCAATAACTTTTTTTATTTGGGGGTTGATCTTCGTGTTGAACTAGATCACATCAAAAATGACATTTGCTAGTGATTTGCGAATGTTTAATATTCTCGTTGGTTTTATAAGAAGAGGATATTGAAGAAAAGGGAACCATATAGTACACACATATGTACGGAGTATGTACATACTCCACATCCACATCCACACACAGAGGAAATGGAAAACTATGGGCCCTAAATAAAGTATTTTCCATAGTTGCAGTCTCTCGAGAGTCACACCAACATTGCCTCACTTAAACCCAGTGTACGCCTGCAGTTGTCCCTCCACTGCATCCGTCCGATTCGAGTCACCGCCAGCCTGGCACTTGGCTCCCGGCGAACAAATAGGAAAGCGTCGTGCTTGTTCGCTTGCTTATTCTCCGTCCCAACTTGACTCTATTGTTATTGCCCCTACTTTAGTGGCATACTCATACATACATATTGCCAACAGACATCATCCAACCTGAACCAAAGAAAGTCTCCTTTCGTCGCCCATTTCCCCCCCTCCCCTCCGCGTTCGTCCAACCATTACAGGCCGAGTGACTCCAACGTACATCCAGACTAAACCATACAGAATTCCCGGATTCTTTCGATTTGCTGGCAAGCAATCGCCCACTAAGGTAGTCCTTCTCTCTCACTTACGTCGGCCTTTCTTTCACACATTCTTCCCTCTCTCCCTCTTCTGCTCTCTGCATGTCATCCATCCCTCCGCCAATTCAGCCAGTTGTCTCTTATCGTCTGGACGAGACCGTCAGATCGGAGTTTCTCTTCCTGCTAATAGGCTCCCCATATTATTTGATCTATTATTCATATTTCTGTCTTTCCATATATTTTTATTTTTATTTTTTACTTTTTCTATTCTATGATCGTTTCTTTATTTGATTGATTGATTTTCTTCCTTGATTCTTCTATACTTGTCTCTTCTCTCCCACCCCCTCCTCTCTCTCTCCCTCTCCCTCTCCCACAATCCCTCATCCACGACCTCTTCATAACATCCACTGTCTATTTTCCTTGCCTCCTTTACCTTTGTCTGCCTCCTCTTCTACCCCGCCTTCCACCCGTCCTTATCGTCCATCTATCAACCCTGGAGCTGTCGATTGTGTCGCATTGCCCTCAACAGGATACTGTTCCCCATGAGGACCGTCATCCTTTCTCTTCTCACCCTTTAAGGGCTAAACAATGCGATAGAGCGGCGGTTCCTAAAGCTAGGGGCAACTTGCGACCTCAAACATCCTCTTGGCTATCTGGCCGGGAAACTGCCAATGGCAACATCATGTTCGATGCCCAATCTGATGGTCTCTCGTCGACCTTAGCTTATGTGACCAGTACGTTCTCAATGATTAATTAATTTACTTATTTATGTTGGGGCCTGTTTGCATGATCGTCAGCCCCCCCTTTTTTTTCCCCTGCATTTTGTCTTGCGCATATAATTACCACTTCCTACCATCGCAACACACTCAATTCTCTCGCCTTTGGATGAGAACTATACCGCTTGCTTCGCTAACATTCTCACCCGCTTTTTCAACGCCAGATCTAATGCCATCCATTCGGCCTGTTTCAACATGTGATAGTACATCTCAGTCACCTGCTGCGACTGCCAGCATGTCCCCAATCCGGTTCTCCCCCGAGTTTACGGGTCGGATTATAGGTGAGTCTGGAGACTCGGACCTCGCAAGTTCGCGATTCATCGCAACACCCGTCTATTCCGACAATGGATGTCCCTCGGAAATGCCGCCCCGCACCGTCTCATCCGTGCCTATGGAGGATGGCCCTAAGGTTTCTTTTGAGAGTTTGGCCAAATGTTATCGCCAAAATCAGCAGAAACAAACCCGTCGGAAAATTTTGGAACACCGTCTCCATGCCACCAAAGTATCGATGGGCATCTCTGCACGCCTGGTCCGCGTGGGCGCCGCCGTTCAGCGCGGCTTGGTTGACCGATTGAGACATGATGACAAGGCCAATTTCATTTCACTCTATCAGACCCTGATTGATCTCCAGGAATCCTGTGATTCTGCCTTTCGGCGCCACTTTCACCGGCAGGACCCGTTGGAAGAATGGCCATCATCTCCCGAGTCCACAGTGGATCGTACCCCGGATTTTTTCGTTCAGTTGAGTCCCCAATCCCGGACTGACCTGATTGAAATTCTGCAATTGGTCCGCACCGACCCTCAGTTTTTGTTCGAACGATTGTGCAGCTTGACTCCGGCCCAGCTAGGCACTTTGGTATCATCTTCAACTCCTTCGTGGGACGCTGGCGATCTCACGTCCCCTTCAACTCCCCGGTCCCGGAATTATCCTTCTTTCTCCAAGCGCAATATTTCCACCTCCATCCCTGTTAAGGACCATGTGCTTGCCTTTGAGAGAGCAGACGCTATATCCACTATGTTGTTTAATGCCTTTGCGGCCCCTCTGAACTCGGACGCCCCTGAGGCCAAACTGCGCCTGGATGTGTGGTCTTCTGTTTGCGCAAAGCTCATTGCGGATGGCAGCAGTAGATTCCATCCTCTCCTTAGCCACATATTGGCCGCCTGGTCCATAGGCAGTGATTGGAAAGCTAAGCCCAAATTTGAACTCTACCTCATGGATATTCTGCAAACTGGTGCATTCCTCTTGGAACATGTAGATACCCCACCTGGTCTGAACTTTGACGCCGAGCTTCCAGACCCTTTGAAAACGGATGTAGCCGAGGAATTCTTTGCCTCTGCGGTAGATGACTTGTTCCGACTTTTGGATGACCCAGACGGAGGACTTCCCGTTGGGGTGATGGAGCTGAGCAGCGCCATATTGCAAAAGCTGGATCGCCAGGACTGTCGTGATCGTTTCCTGGAGTTCCTGTTTACCAAGTGGTATTTCTCCAAATTCCTCTATGGTGCACTAACCTTCCCTGAGGTATGATTTTACTCACTTGGTCTACCTTTCCCTCCCTTTTTTTGATGGTCTGACCTTGTTTTTAGACACACGGACTGTTGCTTGACTTCCATATCAAAAAAGATGCGCGAGAGAAACTCCTAGGGCAGGTTGGGCTCCGAGCTTATTACCAGGTCTATGCTGTCCTACGCTCAATGTATGCTGCGCTCGTTGTTATCTAATTGCTGCAGATCATGAACTAAGCTGACGAAATCTATCCCTCATAGGACTCACTTCTCTATGGCGCGTCCCACGGTCACGCAGCATGTTGAGAACATGCTTTCACGATTCCAAAACTCGGTCTCTGAAAGACAAGCCTATATCCCACGCTCGTCGTACATTAGCTCTGCAGGTGGACGCGAGTCACCAGCTATCTTTTTGATGCTTTCGGCCACTGACATTCTCAGTCTACTGAATGCCCTTTTCCCTAGGACATGCTCTCCGGTGTGCAACTCTCCAACCCCATCTTCGGGAATTTCTGGTTCTTTCAGGTCACTCAGGTCTCTGCAATCCCTATCGGAAAGGCAGGGAACTTCGGTAGCCGAGCCGGGCTTTTTCAAACCTATTGTCAATAATCACTCTAGGCGGCCTTCCATTAGAGGACTCTTCTCAACTGACATGGATTTCTTGTCCCTCCCTGAGAATTCCTTAGCTCGCAATGCCGATCGGATTCGCTTTGAACTGTCCGATATGGGTGAACCTTACGGTCGCTCCAACTTAGAGCCCCCATCCGCCGAAGAATGGACCATATTTTCAGTTGCCCAGAACGGAAGGCGCCTGCTCTGGAGCCTTTTCTCTGACAGCCAATCCACTTATCCGAAAAATGCGTCAGACGATGATGTGCAGTCCGCCACCTTAGGTCTGGAAGACAACTTCGAAGCTCTTCAAACAGCTATCGTAAAACTGATCCAAGACAATCCGGCCGATGACCATGTTGAATTTGACTTTCAAGCTCACGATGCTTTGCAAACAGGCAGCCTATCCCTCAAGCAAAGGTTTGATCGGGCTATGGCTTCTTGTCACCACACCTCTGATTTCATTGGTGCCCATTATTGGTGGAACGCTGGCCGACAGCTTGTCCGGAGTGCCGCCAAGTCTCCCACTCGGCTTGCAGATGACGCGTGGATTCTTCAGCCAATGCATACCTCAAGTGTCCGCTCCCTTCAAACCTCACGCTCCGTTATCGAACGCTGCGAAGGTGACTTTGTCGCCCTCGACCGCCATATGCAGCGACTGCAGCGAACAGTAAAGGACATGATGGCCACGGTAGCAAAGCTACGAGACAAGATGTGGTACATGACCGATGTAAAGAACTCAAAGAGGTATGAGGAAGCTAAACACGTTGCGTTGGCTCTGAAGACGATGATATACTCCGCGCGTCTCTACAAACAGACCCCTAATGAGGGTCGATCCCGCGCCACTGGAAGATCATTCGGGGGGGCTTTACTTCAAAAGCCAGAGCTGCAGGTCATGGACCTTATGAAGGCACCGAGGAGCTATGGTAGTCCAAATAAACTCTCGGACGAACAGGTGGATTTACTTCGAAAATGGCTGAGCCACAACAATATCGAGAATTTCTGTAAAGGTGAGGAACGCATCCACCGATTTTGTTACGAAGTCAAATCAAGTGTCAGTCGACTAGTCGGAGAGACTATGTCGGAGACCCCTGTGTTGTGGGCTAGTGAGCTATACCATCGAGAACGAGCCAAGTACGAAGGCTCCAGCAACCGAAGCTTCCTTGGTCTTTCTTCTAGTCTACGGCCCTTCAGCATCGCCAGTGATGAGCCTAGCAATTCACTACATGCGTATTCCAATAATGTTCGCCCATCCGACTCCCAGTCAAGGTTCTCACATGAACTTCCTCCGTTGAATACGAAAACATCCTTCCAAAGTTTAATCTCTGACAAGTGGAGGGCTCCTCGAGAGCCATCTATCGCCGATACTTCTTCTGTCGTGGGCTCCCCAGGAAGGACCCCATCGACCTGCACCGGAGATTCTTACAGCACGTTTTGGTCGGCACCACATCAGGCCACACAATATGCCCCAAGCGTATCCAGCCTCTACTCTCGACCCCCATCACTCCTGAGTGAGACTGCAAGCCAACAGCCCCGACGCAACGATCGTAAAATTCTCGGAAAGGCAGTATTTCTGGACGGACTACGACAAACGCTTACAAGCCTTTTACTAAGTGATTTAGGCTCCCCAGTGTGGAGCTGTGGTAGCGAGACCGATGCCTGGTTTGGTAATGCTCTAGACCAGAAGAGAATCCAAGCACAAATGAAGAAACGGTCCCGGATACAGCGGTTCTATGCAGAGTACGACGAGCGGCTGATCCGCCAGGCTATCCATCGCACATCGCCAAGTTCTCGAAGAAGCAGATCACTTGGACCTTTAGAGGGAGATGAACCCCATATCATGGAGTCATTGTCTTCATCCCCGAGCGATGCCAATGTGAGACTTGACGACCAATCCCCATTCTCATACAAGGCCGTATTTCGTCGTTTGATCGAGGTCTTCTCACGCCATGGAAGCCCATTTGCCAAGCTGAAAGCGTTACGTGACCTGCGCGCCTTGGTCATCGCCTCCCTACATTCAGTTAATGACGACAAAATTCATTCCCCCCTCGTCGATGAACCGTCTTGCCACAGACGCAATGGTGTTCAAGGGAGGAGAGCAGCTCGCCACAGCTTTGTGGAAACCCAGACAAATCGGGTTTCGGCCAGATTTACCCATACTCCAATGTCTCCTACCGACGAGTCAGTCATCTTTGACTCCCGCCCCTCTGACTATTCAGCCCCGACGGAAAGCCAAATCGTGGAAGCCCTGCGTGATATAATTCTCGAAGTGAAACCAAAGACTCTTTTCCGTGATTTGCAATTCATTTCATCCTTTGTCCCTGGTGAGACACTAAACAAGACCGATAGTGGAACCGCATTCCTACAGTTTGGCTTGGCTGCCCTAAGTTTGAAGGACGAGATCTGCAACAGCATGGTTGAAATCGCCGACAACATTGTCTCCCAAGAGCTCAGCCGGCGCCACCCTCCTCATGGGCATGACATGCATGCACGACCCGGTAATGCCATTGAGGATGCTGCCGGGATGTGGATCATTACTGCGAAGGAGGGAAACCCGGTTGCTCAGCGGGAATTGGCCATTCTCTATCTCACTCACCCGGAGCTCCTCCCCCGTGTTACCCTGCCTCTCACTTTTCTGCGGGATACTTTCAAGGAGGAGACATTACTCCGGAGGGATAAGGACCCCAAGTCTGATCCGCAGAGCATGTGTCTGGCACTGCACTGGATGCAGCTGTCAGCCAACGGAGGAGACGAGCTTGCGCGGAACAGACTTCGCGAACTTGAAGAATTTGATTCTATCGCATAATATTCATTACAACTATGCATGTGACTTTTCAAAGAGCTTACACTTTTCGAATTCTTCTTCTTCTTCTTCTTTATTTTTTCTTTTTTTGTTATGACACGATACCATTCATGACCTACTCTCACCTGGTTTTTTTTTTCAATACTTTTACTCAGCCCTCTTTGAGCCTCTACACCTGGCTAATCCTTTTGCATTTATTTACAGTATCTTGCTAACATGGAGACTTTCCTGTCTTGTAGTTGTACTCTGTTACATCAGCGTCTCTTATATCTTGCATGAGAGCAGGAACGGAGCATTTGGATTCCTTCCTCCTCTTATTATCTGCAGTCTTCTTTTCTTAGTCTTATCTTATAAGATTCCCCTATACATGTTATTGATTGATTCTTTTTATCTTTATCTTCCATTTTAAACAGGGTGGCACTCTGCTTTCTCTTCGCTTCCCTCGAATTTTGGGTTCAGAATCTTTGGAGTTCTATACCTTGGACTGGACTGTAGAGATTATAGGAGTGGTGGCCGTCTGCTCATCAGATACAATTTCTATTGCCCTCTCCTTGCTTTTTATAGGGCTAAAGTATGTCGTTATAAAGGTCTATAAAATTGAGGTTTCGGAGCAGTCATACCCTGGCAGTTGATATGACCAAGTAGTCGAGCCAAAAGTAATCCGTGATGGATTTCTTTGACCACAATGGCCACTATTCATTGTGCCTTTTATTTTGCTCTTCTCTAAGTGTAAATCATTATCGATATGGCACGAATACTACGGGTACCGCCGAGCTGGTGTTGAAATTTACTGTTTGTTTTAGTAGGTCCTTCGACGTCATCGGCAGCAGGGCCCCACGTGCCAGTTCATGAAACTGTTGTTTCCGCTTTGTCGCTCGCATTTTCACCATCCTTCCATTTCTAGACGTGGTGAGCAGGACTACTTCTGACAACCTGCCATTAATCACCCTGTGCCTTCTTTTTACGTGTCCGAGGTTCTGGATTATTCTTCAGCTGAAAAGGAACAACCCCTCCGCAGCAAACTTCGGTCAGCCTTAGGAGGTTTAAGAACCCCTCCAATCCCGCATCATTCTGACGACCACTCAGCCTCACTTTCATGATCTTTGCGATCTCAGCTGACTAGGTTTTCCTTGACTCTCGCTTCTTCTCTTTTATTGCGCCTATTCCTCCGCGGTCACATTTTTGTTTCCTTTGTATAGTCCTTCTCTTTTCGTCCGATCTTGTCCAACGGCTATTCTACGATGGTGCACAACATGGACGAAACACACAAAAGACCCAAGGGTATCCTGAAGAACCCTAGCTCTCAGAACATTCAAACAACACATGAATCGTTGGCCCCGCGCGCTCCATCTACAGAGCCCATGGATACCAAGGAGCTCACCCTGCAAAATACCCTACAGAACGCTGGGCGCCGCCACTCCTCGTCCACCGCACACCCTGGGACCGCGTCTCGACGCCAATCGGTGGCTAGTGTCCAACATGACGAGAATTCGCCACGGTTGAAATGGGACGAGGCAAATCTTTACCTGACCGAACAGGAGAAAACCGCAAAGATGAAGATCGACGAACCCAAAACACCGTATGCGCCACACTATGATCCAAGCCAGGACGAAGAAGAAATGCAGCTTGCAGAAGCTGAAGACAGCTTGATCGATGCACAAGGGGTGGTCGTGGACGAACTTGATCAGACGACCAAAAATGCTCGGAAAACAGTCGCTGAGGATGAGATTCCCGATCTCGAGCTAGGAGAGCCGGAGGGGTTGATCCCTGATGGTGCTGGAATCCAGGACAGCGATCGCATCGTACGCGCGCGGAGTCTAAGCAATGAGTCGCACCGGAGCGACAAGCATGTGGTGATGGGGGCCAACGAGCCCAACGGCGGGGCTGGCGCAGATGCAGACCACTTGTTGAGTCCCGAAGAGGCCCAGGAGAAGCATCGCCAATTTGAACAGCAAAGGAAGAGGCATTACGAGATGCGGAATATCAAAGAACTTCTTGCGTATGTAACCCTTCATACGGGACTTTCCCGTAAGTGTGCTAACGTTCTGTCTTAGCCATTCCGTAGATCTAGAGGAAATGGACGAGGATGAAGACGAAGGTGCGAGCAAGAACTCTGCTCCAGCTGTTCCGCCGCCGATGCCACAGATTCCCCGAGAGTTCTTGAGGGGAGGAAAGTAGAGGCTGCCTTTTTCTATTGGCATTATATTTGATCGCTGCCAAGTTGTGCCTGTTCTCTTCTCATCTCATCTCTTCTTTTTTCTTTCTTTTTATCTTTACCTGACACATATGCTACTTTTGTATATTTGTATATTCCCCAGCGATCTCCATGTTCTATGTTACCAATTATGAGGACCACTATGGGTATTTCCGTCCTTTATTCCTCTTGCGACGGAGACCAGTCATGTATCGATTTACTTGGTTCCGTTGAGACATGATGATAGATCATTTGGTGCGGGAACGAATCGGAGGACAAGGGCACCGTTGATCTGATAAGTGGACGTATGACCGGCTTCGTTCAGGGGAGAGGAACGAATGATTGAGGTGCAGAGGAAGTCATGGAAACTGGATGTGACTTGGCATGAGAGCCTTACCGAAGGGTTTTCATGCAAGCCTGAGTGGTACAGTCACAATCAGGGGTTGATCATCTCGTCCGAGTTGGAGAGGCCGCAGCAGCCAACTCCCGTCGGGGGCTCCACAATAGCCCTACTACTTGCTAGTAGTCATTGTATGTACCGTACCCGATGTACAGGGGACAACAACAACAACAGTGACACCCGCGAAACAGCCCAAACAAAACAAAGAGAGAAAACAAAATAACTAGCAAAAATCAAATAAATAAATGAAAAACATTTGTGGAGACAGGGGAACAATATAGCTGTTCTTGATAATTTAAACCCATGCCATCTGTACTCCATAGCAGCTCCGAGAACGCGCCAGTAGCTAAATGAAATGGAACTAACTAACGATTTAGTTCCTGAAACATGCTTCGTGCAGCACTCGCGCTGCACGTAAATTAATCGGACTAAAATTTAAGGGCTGAGACGGTCGTTAGGCTACCATGAGAAAAGAAAGGTACCTTACGGGTTAACGTTGAGCTCGAGCAAGCATCACTGTGAATTTCTTTTTCTTCTCTCTCTCTCTCTCGATTTATTGTAGATTACTATGATCCGAACGTCTGTATTCTTAGCAAGGAAAGGAGGAAATGTGATTGATCGCAACCAGACGCCAGAAGAATTCGGATGAGGAAGGTTGGGAGGAGTATGTGTCAAGTTGGTCAAGAATGTATCTCTTTTTTTATTTTCTTTTTCCCCCCCTTAACTTAAAAGAAAGTATCTGTGAGTAATCCGAACGGTTTCGCGACTTTACTAAAACTCGGGATATTTATAGTAGCTCCCGCGTGAGATTAAGGCTCATTTGCTAGATTAAAAAAGCAAATAAAATCAAATCGCAGCACCAATTCCAGATTAAATTTAGTCTTACTGTCTTTCCCTCCTGTCAATTTCCTGCCCCCCGTGACTTGGGGGCATGTGATCTGGGTGGCCTGCTTTTTCGTCTGTTGTTTTTCGACCTTCCCTTCCTTTCCCTTTCTCTCCCTCCACCTTTCATCGAGCATTTACCACTGCACTGTGATTACTCTCCTGTGCAGTTTCGTTGTCTATAGTGCAGCGCCCGCCGAGCTCCTGACCCATCCATTCCAACCCCTTTTCCGTCCCTCGACCTAAACACCAAGATGGCTGATCAGCAGGAGAAGGCTGCTACGGCTGTCCCTCAAACCCAGCCTCCTACCCAAGCTGCCGAGACCACAACCCAAACAACCGCAACCCCAGCTCCAGAGGTCCAAGCAGAACAGACGCAACCCACGGAGTCTGGTCCGAGCGCCGCCGCCGACACTACAACTGAGCAACCCACCAACCCACCTGCCGCAGAAGCTCCGAAGGAAAACGCAGCTCCAGCCCCGGCCCCGGCCCCGGAGGATGCGCCAGCGGAACCTGCGCCCGCACAGGAGCAGCAGGAAGAGGAGAAGCCTGCAGACAATAAGCCCGAGTATCTGGCCAAGAACCCTGCTTTGAGTGAGCTGTTTGAGCGTCTGCCTACTGTGCTCTCCAACAGTGGTCATGATGAAATGTGGGGTGTCCCCCTCAGGGATTCCAGCGATATTCCGACGGTCAACGTTCTGATCAAATTCCTTCGTGCTAACGAGGGAAATGTAAAGCTGGCTGAGGATCAGCTCACCAAGGCGTTGCAGTGGCGCAAGCAGACCAATCCCACAGCATTGGTCGAGGGCCGCTACAGCGCCAAAAAGTTTGGCGGATTGGGATACTTGAGCACGTACAAGGATGCCGACGGCAAGGAAACCATTATTACCTGGAACATTTATGGAGGCGTCAAGGATCTTAGTACAACGTTTGGAAATGTGGATGAGTAAGTCAACGTCTCCCAGTGAAATCGGGTACATCATCTCTGACGGCACGTAGGTTCATCAACTGGCGTGTTGCACTCATGGAGCTTGCCGTCAAAGACTTAAAGATGGACCAAGCTACGTCGGTTATCGACTACGAAGGCGAGGATCCTTATCAGATGATCCAGGTTCATGACTACCTCAACGTCAGCTTCTTGCGCATGAACCCCAGCGTCAAGGCCGCTACAAAGAAGACCATTGACGTGTTCGCCACGGCCTATCCAGAGCTGCTCCGAGAGAAGTTCTTCGTCAATGTCCCCTCTATCATGGGTTGGATGTTCGCGGCCATCAAGGTCTTCTTGAGCAAGAACACCACCCGCAAGTTCCACCCTATTTCCAACGGCGCCAATTTGGCACGGGAGTTCCCGCCTGCCGTCAAGGAACAGTTCCCCAAGGTCTACGGCGGAAGCGCTCCTGCTCTGCACGAGGGCGCCCGTACGGTGGCCCTTGAGGAGGACAACGAGCCAGCTCCTACCCCCGCTACTGCCGCGGAACCTACCGAGAACGCCAAGCCAGAGCTAGAAGCCCCCAAGCAGGAACCGGCCGCGGAGGCCCCCAAGGAGGAAGCTCCCAAGGAAGACCTGGTGGAGGCCCCCAAGGAGGAACCCAAGCAGCCAGCTGCCGAAGAGCCGGCCAAGACTGACACGGCTGTTACGACCCAGGAGACAGTGGCTCCCACTGAAGCCAAATAGATGTAACGACTTTGTTTCTTTGATGTTCTGGCCGAGCCAGCTGCTTTTGATGGTAATGGTAGGGTTAATTGGTGAAGAAGAATGCGTAGAGTGGTTTGCGATGCTTGATTTGGGTCTGAAATTTTTGATACCTCGGAAAGTTTGTGTTTATGTCCACAAGAGCCTGTTTGTTCTGAATCACTTAGTTAATTAGAATAGTAATTATTAATAATAGTCCAGAAGCAACGAAGGTGATTGTTTTGTCATTGAAGTATACAAGCACCTCGTACGGAGGAAAGCGTAGGCGGTGGGGGGAACATCGTAACACCGAGACCCATAATTCCGCTCGCTTTCTTCATACCTCCGAAGCTCATCCTAAGCTGTCAGGGACCACAAGCTGATCACCGCTCGCGTGCTATACACGGCAATCGTACTTCTGGTGGTTCCAACCAGAATGCCCCTCACTCTCACCAAATCTTCTCAGTTCATGCGATAATTCGATCACGCTCTAGAATCGCAGACGACTCCCAAACTTCTATTAATTAGAGTCTGGCCTTGTCATTCACGCGCCTACCATCAATCCGTCAGACCAGCAGCTCCAGACAACCCACAATGTCCGTGTGGAATCCCGATAATATACGCGACGTGGCCGAGTCCGTCGGCATCGTCAACCTCAACAACGATGTAACCGAGAACCTCGCCCGCGACGTTGAATATCGTATCGCTCAGGTGCTTGAAGAAGCCCTCAAGTTCATGCGCCACAGCCGCCGCACTCTCCTCACTACACAGGACATAGCGCAAGCTCTGCGCGTGCTCGATGTGGAGCCGTTGTATGGATATGAGTCCACAAGACCTCTGCGGTTCGGGGAAGCGTCGCTGGGACCAGGGCAACCGTTATTTTACGTGGAGGATGAGGAGGTGGATTTTGAGAAATTGATTAATGCACCGTTGCCGAAGGTGCCGAGGGAGATCTCTTTCACTGGTATTGGCATCTTCTGCTGAGCTGTGTGGATGTTTCACTGACTTTTCGCTAGCACACTGGTTGGCCGTTGAAGGCGTACAGCCGTCGATCCCTCAGAACCCTACCTCGGCGGACTCGAGAAACCTGGAATTAATGTCCAAGGGCCCTAATGCAAACTCTACCCTGGCGGCAATGAGCGGTAGTGGGAATGTTGCCGTTAAGCCGTTGGTCAAGCATGTGCTATCGAAGGAACTACAATTGTACTTCGAAAAGGTCTGCAGCGCCTTCCTGGACGAGTCTAGCGAGGAGTACAGAACGTCGGCCTATTCGAGCCTGAGGGAAGACCCAGGACTTCACCAACTCGTGCCGTATTTTGTGCAATTCATTTCTGAAAAGGTCACCCATGGCCTGAAAGACATCTTCGTCCTGACCCAGGTGATGCGCATGGCGGAGGCTCTAGTGCAGAATAAATCGCTCTACGTAGATCCCTATGTGAGTTTGCTTTCGATTTTTACCGTGTGTACGGGCTTTCTAATGTGTGGATTCCTTAGGTTGCATCTCTTGTTCCTCCCATCCTGACCAGTCTGATTGGCCGGCAGCTTGGAGGCAATGCGGACCTGTCCGAACAGTTTTCCCTCCGTGAGCTGGCCGCATCTCTTCTGGGCCTCATTGCCAAAAAGTACTCCCACTCCTCACACACGCTCAAGCCACGGTTAGCTCGGTCGTGCCTGAAGACGTTCCTGGACCCCTCGAAGCCGTTCGGGGCGCACTACGGAGCCATCATTGGTCTCCAGGCAGTTGGGGGAGCGGAGGCCGTGCGGGTTCTGATCCTGCCTAACCTACCGACCTACGGAGCCCTACTGAAAGACGGCATGGCGGAAGAGAATCCACGACGGCCCGAAGCAGAGAAAGTGCTCGCCGTGCTATTTGGGGTCCTCGGCACTTTGCGCGAGGGACGCACGGCACTTGCCAATGGGCATAATGGCGTCGTCACCGAGGATTTACGCGGGCGCCTAAATGGCAAAGTGGGAGAATTTCTCGCAGCCAAGATCAGCGAAGCGGGGGAGGTTGACCTGGTGCATGCGATCTTGGAATTGTAAATTTTGAAGCCCCCTCTTTGTTATCATCTTCCCCTTTTTTTTTTTTTTCCTTCATTTCCGGGTTATTTTGCTGCCTTTAGCCCATAACATTGGCGGTGGGATGGAGAGATTATTTGAGGTTTCGGCGTTGGGGAGAGCGATTTTCTTGATGTTCAAATCATACATACCATTTAGCATTTGACTTTCTTACATTGTTAACTATTGATTTCTTGAGTCCGGGCAGAGAAGAATTTTCCCATTGGATCTCTCTCTCCAGGGGTGGATTGTCGTACCTATCCATTATTATAATGAGTCATTTAATTGAAGGGGTTGTTTGGGTGCAGCTGAACCTTGCATGGCCATCTGCACGTCCGCCAGTTTTTGATACATCGACGGCGTGACTGGATTGGATTTTGGTCTCTCCGCGTTCCTGACCGACGTCACTTTCCGGCTGACTCAGCCCGCCCTCTTCACCGCCCACGGTTTGGGAGTCTAAGCCGCGGGGGTGGTCAGAAAGGGGATAAAAAACCAGAAGAAAAGAAAAAAAAAAAAAAGACGCAAAAAAAAAAGACGACCAAGTGTCGCACGACCAGGTATTCTGCTTCCTCAAGATCCAGGCATCGATCGATCGTCTTCCTCCACTGAACCCCAAACCAACGAGGAAGTTGAAAAAACTGAACTTGCTCTCTTCGTAGTTCAGACCACCGAGTGTCTCGAAGAAAAGATCTACATTACCCTCCTCCTGTTCGGTCTCGTCCGTTCGCTCAGATTCTGCGAACGAGCCCAACCCAACCTGGAACTAAACCGAAAAGCGTCAACCACTCCCGTCGCTTTACGCCCCACGACTTTTTCTCGGGCCCACACACCGAACAGCAATTCAGAAAGAGGGCAATAAATATCAGGATTCAACCTGCACGCCTGTTGACCCCACGTCAACATAAATTTCTGTCTTTCGAGTACACCAGTGCTCTGCTCTTCTTCTCTCCTCTTCGCTGGCGCAATTGATAACCCGAGTCTCCATCTCTGGCAATTCCTCAGTGAGCACTTGCAGATGTCCAGACTCGTAGCGTCTCGCGACAACTTGCTGCTCTAAGCTCTATTGCATTTTAGCCTTCTATGAGCCCGAAGGATTTACTGCGATACCTGTCCAAGCCTGCGAAGTAGGTTCTCCCTGGTGGTGACGGTCTTGGTGGTGGACGCAATGCTAATCCCACTGGCACCTAGGCCCCGATAACGCGACTCACGCCTTCCCACTCTTCTTCAACTTCCCTTATTTCAAACTAGAAAAGCAGATATCCTCGTCTGCTAGACCCGATACTTTTACCGGTATCGGTATCTTCCAGTACGAGGGTTTACGACTGATAGTCACCATTCCTTTCGCCAGAGGCATTTTCCTCCTGTCCCTCTCTTTCCGCCCTCCCTAGCAGCCTTTCAAGGCTTGTATTGAACCCTACCTTTCTGGCTGTGTGCCACGTTCACTCGACTCGTTAAGGGCCTTCTCTCTCAGGCGGACATCCCCCCCTGTTCGTCTGGGCAGCAGATAGTGCTTCCTAGGCTTTTCTTGTCTACGGTCCACGAATCGAGCGCGTCGCTTGACTGCACATCTCAAATTCATACTATTATCACCAGTTCGCCTCTCAATCTCTTAAGTAGCCAAGATGGTTTACATTGGAATTCCCAAGAATTATACGCAGTCGCCATCCTCGTTTATGGCGACCCCGTCTCTAACCATCAACCACGAGGTGACACAGGATCTTGACTCTACCAACGCCTTCGAAGGTACGTCGTGCACGATCATGTTCCGACCATGCAATGCAGAATCTAATGAGAAACAGGACCCGAGAAGCTTCTAGAGGTCTGGTTTGCCCCGTCCGCCAATGAACTGGGCTCGTCTCAACCTACCGGCCTAAAGGCCGTGCCCGAGGAGGTCTGGAAGGACATGCTGGATCTTGTCAATTGCCAGGTGCTTTCCATTGTCTCGTCCGAGGACGTCGATGCGTACCTTCTGTCAGAGTCCAGCATGTTCGTCTGGCCTCACAAGCTTATCCTCAAAACATGCGGCACCACCACTCTGCTCTCCGGATTGCCCCGCATTCTTGAGATTGCTGCTCTGTTCGCCGGTTTCCCCAAGTCCGCGGCTCCTTCCGGCAGGGCTGGCATTGCCGCTGCCCCGTACCGGGTGTTCTACAGCCGCAAGAACTTCCTGTTCCCTGACCGCCAGCGTGGTCCCCACCGCAGCTGGAGGGATGAAGTGCGAACCATGGATAGGCTCTTCTTGAACGGCAGCGCTACATGATTGGCAAGATGAACGGCGAGCATTGGTACCTGTATCTGACCGAACCCAACACCTTGCTCACGCCCCCGGCCAGTCCTAAGGGTGATGAGGAGGTCACGGAGACCAAGTTCCTCCAAATTCCGGAAGGTGGTTTGCCGCAGAGAGATGATGCCAATGATGAGACGCTTGAGGTGCTAATGACCGACTTGGATGAAGAGAATGCCAAGCAGTTCTATCTTGACAATGCCACCGCTGTTGCTGAGAAGCGCTACCGCAACTTTGACAAGGACAACAGCGACCACGTCGATGTGTTCAGCAACAACTCAGACATGGATCTGGAGGACACGGATGGAACCCGCATTCTGCCACCGGAACTGACTACGGAGGGTCACGCCTTGGGAACTGTCGTGTCCGAGTCTTGCGGCCTTTCGGATGTCTATTCCAAGGAGCAGTTCCCCGAGTCGCGCATTGACGCCTACCTGTTTACTCCCTGCGGCTTCTCTGCCAACGGCGTCATCCCGTCTCCGGACCCGAAGGCCAACACCCACTACTTCACGGTGCATGTGACGCCCGAGCCTCACTGCTCCTATGCGTCCTTCGAGACCAACGTGCCGCACTCGCAGAACGGTCAGACCACTGCGGGTATTGTGAAGCAGGTGGTGAACATCTTCAAGCCGGGCCGCTTCACTGTGACTCTGTTTGAGAACAAGCCCAGTGATGCCGAGCTGAGCGGCATCGGCGAGGCCAAGTACATCGAACGGCAGGCAGCCCGTCGGAAGTCTCAAGTGGAGCACATCGAAGGATACCGTCGGGTGGATCGCATCGTTCACGATTTGGATGGTTATGACCTTGTCTTCCGCTACTATGAGCGGCTGGACTGGAAAGGGGGGGCTCCTCGACTCGGAGAAGAGCGCATCTAAGGGGGGTCAATCCATCCATCGTGCGATCTGTTGATTCATCGGAATTGAAATTGCTTTGTTACCACTGTCTCTTACTTCTCATGTTTGTTTCTTGCTTCGTTGGATTTTTACCGAGCCAGTTCTGTTGAGTTTTTACTGTTTCAAGCTACTATTCTGACGTTCATTGAGTATCATGGCCTGCATGGTTTTTTTTCGGTTAATCAATATTTATTTGGTGTGCCAACAACATGGCCTGAACAAGGGTAAACTAGTCCCTATGATCTTTTCCGTAGCTGCAACAATCCCTTCCGATGCTCTTCGCATTTATGTAAGCTCTAGTACGACTATTTAGAAGTAGCCATCACCTCTCTCCCAGTAGGTCCTCTCTGCAGGTGGATATCTTCTGTATCTATTGATATAGGTATTGATGCTTCACGATAAGCAGACGTAGGATTTAACCCCAACATATTTTTCTAAATGTTCCAGTATCTTAACTATCACTTGAACCACCTAGAATCAGTTGATGAATCTCACATCCATTCCGCTAGTGGAACAATGAATAGATAGCATTGAATTCAACCATCACAGATCTTAGGTAGTATTGAAGTAGTACATACTGGATACCCCAGGCACACAACCTTACCCGAAAGAGGACTAGCGTGACGGGCGTCAAATCAGTTATCGGACCTTTGATAGTGAGCCTTCGATACATACCTCAACTTTTAAGTCAACAACAACGCCCAGTGAGCGATCTCGAGAAGCTCCAACACATCACCCCCGGAACCCCCACATAGACCCCGAAATAACAGAGAACAACTCACCATGTCATCACCGCCGCCAACGAACCCCCTAAAACGCCCCTCGATCTCATCCTCCGCCTCCCTGCCGCTCGGCACCAACCCTAAACGACCACGCATGCACCCGCTCCGCCAGACTTCCTTCCCGACGACGATCGACGCGGATTCGCGCGGATATGGTGCTGCTAGCGATGCGGGCAGCGTGACGGGCAGTTTCACGGGGAGTCTGGGGGGCACGAGCGCGGACGGTGTCTTTCGGAACAAGAACGCGGGCGCAAGAGTAAAGCGGAGAAGGAGCGCGAGAAGGAGGATGCGGCGAGAGGGGAGATGCGGTCGTCCGTGGATGCGGAGGGGTCTGTGAGAGCTGGTGCGACGGGCGGCGGAGGCGGAGATGATGGGGATGATGACGAGGATTTCGAGGATGAAGGGGAACTGCTGGGAAGAGAGGAAGGCGCTACGGATACGGAGGCGGAGAAGAAAAATCTTGCGTATGTCTTTTCTTCCAGCCATTTATTGTTTGCTATGTCCTAGATGAAAGTTGCTAACTGGTTGGTACAGATTGCTGGTCGATGCTTTTAATCCTTTACAGTCCGAGCGGTACGATCTGTTTAAACGAGCGAAGCTGAGGAAAGAGACCCTGCGGCGTATTGTGAATCATGCGCTATCACAGTCCGTGCCGGCGAGTGTGGTGACTACGATCAACGGGTTTACGAAGGTGTTTGCAGGAGAGATTATTGAAAAGGCTCGGACGGTGCAGGCTGAATGGGCGGAGGCACACGATCAGGCTGCGATAGCTGCTTTTGAGGCTGAAGAGGCCGCGACAATGGCGCGAGCTGCGAATGCGTCGGCTCCTGGCACTCCAGGTCCCGGTACGCCGGGGCCCGGCGGACTGCCTCTAGTGAAACAAGAGTCCTCGAATCCCTCGTCTTTCCCGTCTACACGTGCCCCCGGGACGCCGGTCCCATCCGGCGTAGCAAGTCCGCAGCAGTCGGTAAACGGCACTGCACAACCTACACGGGAGCGGATATTCAAGATGCCTCCTAATCCCCACCGGGGACAACTACTTCCGTCGCATTTGCGAGAGGCTTTACGACGCTGGAAGCGGGATGGAGAGGGAGGCGGTGTCGGCTTCTCCGGACTGAGTATGGGCAATCTGGGAGTTCGGGGATCGGTGACGTGGGGGGCAGGCAGTATTGGCGGGCGACGAATTTTCCGCTAAAAGTACACGGGTTTCTCGATTTAGATCTCTTTTATGACGTTACGAAGGGCGTAATCACTTGGGCTCTGAAACACACTTATGGCCATCTTGTGACGTTCAGTTCCTGGAACTGGAGCATCTATCGTCTTCTCATTTGAAAAGATACACTCACCCACGGTGCCTCCTTGCGATGCTCGGCGGTCAATCGATTTGGGAATCACCTGTTATGGAGCATACATATGAACAGTGGAACCCACCGACACGCTCCTGGTATACCAGAGATAACATCGCACAGGTTATCAATGAGCGCCACAAGGCCAACTGAGCCTCCTTAACCGAGTTCTACGTCAGGGAATACGCTGTGCTTCCGGCATTTCCTCTCGTCCAGCGACTCAATATCATAGTACATATTAGATCTTTAATGACATAATATAACATCTAATTCATCCACTGAGGGGAAGAGCTTCTCTTGGCCTGAGACGACCATGAATGGACGTTATAAACATCCACGCCCCTTGCAACAAATCAGGACGCCAACTCATGCGTCCTACCCACCGTAGTCAACTCCACAGGATTAGAAGGATTCTTCCATTGCTCCGTCTCACGCTGTTGCATCCCATACAGTGAGTTACTTCCAGCCGCGGACGAAGCAACAGCCCCATTCCCCCCAGCCCAACCTCCAGCCCCAACACCACTACCACCACCCGCTGCAAGACTCTTCGTCCTAGCCCTCCTCTCCCAGAGCGCCCAAGCGATCGCCCCCAGAGCAATGACCCCTAACGGCACACCAACCCCAGCCCCAATAGCGACGTCCCTCGAGCTCGAGCCCGAGGACGACGATGACGACGGCGACGGCGACGGCGACGACGTGCTATTCGACGCGGTACTGGACGCACTCAGCGACGACACGTTCGCCAGCGCCGCATACCCCGCCACGAGGGTCGCATCCGGGACGAAGAACGGACTGCCCGAATCAGAACTACAGGTCACCTGGGAGCCGTTGCTTACGGGGTCGTTGCAGCAGTATTCGGCTAGCTTGTTGCTGTTGAGTCCTATTGGGAAGAGCGAGGAGCCTGAGCTGCGGGAGACGTTTGCTATTGTATTTTGTTAGTATGCATTGGGTCTCCTTTTTGAAATCTGACATGATGATGATGTTCGACGATAAATTGGGTGTGTAGACAAAAACAACTCCATATGTTCCAGGACGGGATGAAGAATCACATACTACAAAACTGCGGACAGTTGTCCGAGTTCCAGTTCGGATCTGTACAGGCGCCCCGCGACAGCACGTAGGGTTGGATGGCGACGTTGAGACACAGGTTATTGGACAGACACAGATTCCCGGAGCGGCAGCAGCGCGTATTTCTCGTCGGAGCAGGGGACGTCCCCTGTTGCGGGCGTGCCGTCGGGCCAGTAGCATGTTTCCGTGCTGTATACCGATCGGACTAGCAGGAGGAGGAGGAGATATAAAAGTGGAGGGCGATTCATGATGGGTTGTTTTGGGGTTTTGATATATAGGTACTATGGCGTGGGAAAGCATGAAAGTCGATATACTGGTCGGGGTGTGGGGGTTGTCTGTCAAATTTATTTATTTATTTATTTAGTGTCAGATTCTCTGACAGAAAGGCGCTTAGCGATTGCTGAGCTGACGCTGGAATCGACATGCAGGAGGCATTTGCCAATCGGAGGGGGAAGCTATCGCCATTGCAGTAATGCATTGGAAGATCTTCATTCGCGGCGGTATCGGTAATTCCATTTGGCAGGGCTTGACTATGTAACACCCAATCACCTTGCATTTCGATTGTGAGGCATTGCTTGTTTCTTCTTGGGGGCCAAACAGTGACCCGTTGTCGGATCCCTTCCACTCAATCCATTCAATCCATTCAATTACCCCCCCAAAGGTAGAAATGTATCAGTCCTCTCTGTCAATCTGATCAGCCTCTCAACATTTCGACAAGAAGACATATACTACAAACTTACCATACTGAATGACGATATCAACCAGGGGCAATTCGCAACGGAACGCCGATCAGGAGTAGTGTCTCAGCCATTCAAACATGGATGATTCTGAACGCAATACGCTCCCTAGCATCCTGTAGTCCATGACGGCGTGCACGTTGATCGTCGAGACGGATAAGTCTTCTACGGATGACCTCCACTATGAGGATGATGATGATGGTGGAGACGAGCAGTTCGATCCACTGCACCAAGAACCCGTTGTATTCGCCTTCAAGGTCCATCCTGGATAGATATTAGATTTGTCCCGGCATTAGACATGAGCTGGACGGGATATGGGGGAAAGCTTAGCCATCTATCAGGCTTCCTTGTCTTACATGTCACTGGGAATCGTTGAAGTACTTATTCCTATACCCTACCAGTCAGTTCTTTGTTGAACGCATCTGATTCTGGTCTGTATTCTCACCAAAGAGAATAATATCAGAGCAGATGTTCACTAAGAGATAGTATCCAAGAGTCCTCATCGATGAGAGTGAGATAAAAAAGAAGCTGGCAAGAACATGTCAATGAAAGGATTCAGTTCTCGGCACTTTATCACGACAGTCACTGTCAAAAGCGACTCAGCAACGAGTCAGCGAGGATGTGCAAACTACACATGAAACTCATCACAGCAAATACGGACCTCACATTGACCTTCGTACACAGCGTGCACTGTGGTATCCATCATTCACATGATGGCAAACACGCTCCTTTGTTGTCTCTTGCAGTCTTTCATGACTGTGTTCTCTCAGCTGTTGCTCAATGTGTTTAAGTACCCGGTCAGTAAGATAATCGTCGTCCGACGCTTCTGGTCGGCCGTGCCTTTTTCTGGGCTCCGGGAGGTCTGCATCCGGATCTACAATAAATCGGCGTGTCATCAAGACACGGCCACGATCCCGCTCGGAGCAAAGCCTATATCGGACCCAGAGCAGAATCGCAAGGTGGCGACAGTGGTTTTCCTGATCGGTAAGCTAAAAGTTGTGCTCCCGCTCAAACGGACTCGTCTGATTAAGGCATAGGAGGTCCGGGCTCGGGGAAGAGTACTATTGCAACCAGGCTTGCTGCAGATCTGGGTCTCATCCATCTTGATCCCGACGAGATCATTAGTCGTCTAGGAATCGCCGGCCCCGACGAGTGGCTTGCAGTGAAAAGCACTATGGACGAGAACGGAACTGTTCCCGACTATATAGTCAGCCTTCTCTTGAAGATAGAAATATCCAAGCATCTAAACGCACACCAGAGTGTGTTCCTGATCGAGGCCTTTCCCCGGTCATACGCGCAGTTCATGGAATTCACCAGCGTGAGTCAGCCCTAAGTGCTGAGACCCTCCTAACCGCGTCATTAGATCTGTGGCTACGGGCTTACGATCAGCCTTGACGTGTCCTCTGCCACGTTGATGAGACGCTTCATGTTAGAGACGAAATCATTCTCGGAGAAAGTGGCCCAAATGGAGGATTTCCTCAAACGCGAAGACACTTTTGCTGGCGCAGAACTTGCTCTCTACCCACACGCCGATTTCACCAATGGCCTTGTCAAGGTATGTAAAGCGGATTTTGCATGCTGCTTTGAAGCGGACCCTGATCAGCGACAGGTTTGCGCCGAGCTGAAGGTTGAAGAATTTTACCCACATCTGAAAGATCTCGTCGCGGTATGACCAGGGAGCGAATCCGAGGAAGATCCGTACACTAACATTACCTAGAGAAGGCTCGCCAGTCCTAAAACGGCTCTCTGGGTCAACGAACTGGGCATGGAAATGGTGTCCTCAGTGGACCACTTTGAGTCTTAGACTTAGCTCCCCTGGCTGTTCTCAACCTAGTAGTCGTCCGAGATCGGGCGTGTTCCAATGAGTACTTCGTCATGCAACAACGGGCTTATTACTTGTCTGAGCAAAGGCTTGCGCATTTCCAGCTTTTTTCGTGCAGTATCGTGTACTGAACGATGGTATTGTTGCCGCTAAAAAGATCATGTATCAAGCGTTGGTTCCAGCATTCGACCTGTGAAGGAGTAGCGTTCAGAAATGAGAAACAGCCCAAAAGGGTAGATGTTCTATTTAATCGGAATTCATTCTAAGTAACACATAAAACAGAGAGCTGAATGGTACACGCCATATTATACAATGAAAAAGAGTCTCGATATGTAGATGGCCGACTATGTGGCATAACCTCGTGCTCACCTTTGCTTGGAGTTTTTGAATGCGGAACGGGCCTTCTCCCTTTCAAGCTCCAGAGCTCGGAGGTGGGCCTCTCGCCGCGCGTGGTTTCTCTCCTCCCGTTTCCAGTCTTCTTCTTCCTTCCTCCTCTGCTCGTAGTCTGCCGCTAATTTGCGGTCCTTCTCGCTGAGCCGAGGGGGTTCGGCCAGTGATCCGTCTGCGTTCTTCGTGGGCTCGTTACCCATTGCTGAGTCCAGCTTTCCCTTCACATCAGTTGTAAGATTATCGTAATTCTTTTTGACGCTGTTGAGCGTCCGGTCGACGAAGCTAAGATTCTGGGCCGCCTCTACTGTAGGCACTTCCATTTTCTTATCCGCTTCCTGGGTGTCGAGGATCATGCGGATGGCTCGGCCATGCTCCTCTGGCGACATTGCGGTGGCTTCTGCCGGCTTTTTGGGAATGGCAATGTTGGCAAATTGCCGGAAGCTGTTAGAGGAAAGCATGTACGCCTGCCCCAGAGCAAACAAACCGGTCGAGAGGAAGTAAAGCTGAAGGGCACTAGGGAAAAAGGACATGAACGCGAAAGAAAGGGCAGGCATTCCGTACAGAACAGCTCTGCCGACGGGTGAGTTCGCCATTTGGTTCATACCGTTCTCTCCGCCTTTCTGTGAAAACAGTTAGCTTTGCCTTGCGGAATATAGAGGCATGCCCGGTCATACCTTGAAAGACAGATACATGGCAAATGCTGTAGCAGCTGGAAGCAGAAAATACGGATCCGCAACCGTGAGATCCTTGATCCAGCCGACAGACTCCACAGCCAACCCGGGTACTGGCAAAGAAGTCATTCCCTTGACAACTCTGTAACAACCAAAACCCAAAGGAAGCTGAATGAACGGTATCATTGTCTTGTAGAACTTAATGCCATGGTCACTGTGGAGTTGCTGCAGCTCTGCTCTCGTTTGCATCATGTCCGTATGTCTCTTCTCATTTGCAGCCTTCGCCATCTTGGCTCGGAGAGGTGTCACGACGTCTTTCAGATTGTGGATTTTGGTGGAGACATCCGCTGCGCTGAGCATTGGTTTCAGCAGAGCCAAACGGACCAAAAGACCGGTTCCAACAATACTAGCCCACCATGCAGACCAGCCCAGATGTGGAAATGCTCGATGAAGTATTCAATCATGGACGAAGGGCCCCAGCCGTAGTCGAGTCCTAGGTCTTTCAAGTATCCAATCTTCTCGGGAATGGCGTTGATGTCAAAGTCAGAAAGATCGGCTGCTTGTTCGGGTACGGCCGTGTCTACAGCGGTTGCAGCAGTGGCAGTCGAAGCAGAGGCAGTGGAAGCGGTGGAATTGAATCGTGCGGCCGACGCATGATGAATGGAGGAGGCAGGCCTCCAGGACAGGTTTCCTGCAAGCGATTGGTTCAGTCTCCCATATCGCACAGGGAACCCCGGGGCATGGGAACGGAATGAAGACATCTGTCAATGTTTAGTATTTGCCGACGGAGAACGCATCCCGATAAACGAACCGATCGACTGGAGCGTGAGAAGGCAGTCAATCGCTGCCGGGCAATGGCAGGCATAGCGCCACGCCCTTTCAGGCCAGCTCCTCCCAGCATCATTGCAGTTAGAGCCAACGGAGAGACAAAAGTCGAAGTACGGACTGGGAATAGCGTTCCTGAAGGGAAGAAGCGCGACAACGGCCGATTGATCGGACTTTTTGCGCCAAGCCCGTTTTTTCTGCCGGGCGGCCGGAGAACCCCAGGCTTTTACCGACCTGTTTATTATATTAAATATAAATGGTACAATATATCGGGCTAAAATAGTAATGAAATGATAATGATAATGACGATGATGATGATGGTAGACTAGCTGTCGCTAAATCAGAAGGTTGTACAGCTGCAGCTAAGTCATCGCTCTCATGCCAAACTCGAGGTGCTTCGCCAGACGCCATCCAGTCAGACAGTACAAGTACTACTCATGCCTTATGATCTATGTACATTTGTAATCCCCACGTATACGTTTCCTGCTGTAGTAAAAGATAACCAAAGAATCTTGCTAACAATTCTGTTTCTGTTGTTGTGCTTTTGAGTGTGAGCGCGGTCACAGAGTCTGATAGTGAGCTTCCAGCACCTGTCTTATTCCAAAGACGCCGTGTCTCACAAGCTGTTACTCCTCCGTGACGGAACTTCTCGAACCTCCACACCAGGACCGACTGTTCTCCGATAGGTAGGGAAGATCTAGTGGCAATACTATAGTATTAGTATGGTCCGCTAAAGGTATGCAGGTAGGGGCGAACAGCAGAAACTGATCAGGGAACAGTACCTTTGTGCCGGACCATCCTAGGCGGAAGGCTGCTTCATGTGCAAATAGTTCACCAAAGCCCAGCATGAGTCCATTCACGAAGGGAAGAACCAGGTTGATGGCGGCGCCTCGCAAAATACTCCAGATCGTAGGGGGTTTGTAGAGGATCAGAGGAGAACTCGACGTCGACTCGGATAACTCATTGTTGGCTGAATAATTCTCCGAGTCTGAACGGACGGTCAATCCAGATTCATAGAGCTCGACGCTCGAGCCTGTGTGGTCACCCGAAGCCATGATGCGGGGGTAAAGGAAGAACGCGCCGTTCAACCAACGAGGGCAGATCGGAGATTGGTCGTAGGGGGGAAGATCAATGGGAGGTAGCCGTGATTTAGCTCGGAAGGATGTTCCCAAGAGACGAATTCGGATTCTAAGCCCTTTATGACTTAAGTAGCGGGCTTTTAGGATTTGTTGACCTGGCTAGGATTGTATCGAATACCTTCCTCGTCATACATGAGCTAGTACCTACTAAGGTGTGATGCTTGGATACACCTGACCGGTTATGTAATCAGGCACTGCATGCCGCTTCAACAAAACACCAAACTCATCAATCAGCGATGGTGCTAGCAGTTCTTGAAAGGTCATAGCTGGCGATCAAAGAAATGCCATATTTCTACTCAGTTTATCATGACGCCTCATCGATCCGGGAACAATGTATGATTTGTTGCGTTACTTTAGTACTACTCCTAGGCTAAAGTTGAGCAATTAGAATACTCTCCAATCGGTTCCATCGTTACGATGGGACCCAATGGAGCAAACCGCGATGATTGGGCACTGGAGGTGCTGATTGAGATGCCACCTGTACTGCGTAGTTCTGTGTATCGTAGCAAATGCCGAGCACTAAGTCGTACATCCACACCTGGTTATGTGTGGTAGGGAAAGATATATCTCATACATTTCCAACCCATGGGAAGAACGAACTTCAATCCCAAGATGGAAGGCAAATGAAATGTCCCCCACTGATTCCTGAGGCATCCGTGGAAGATCCCCTCTTCCGATGACCAATCAGGTAACAGTGACGTACCTCATTGGTTCCTCAATTGTTGTTCTTCAGCTTTCTCGGAGATGAACTAAGCATCATCTACCATTATCTTGCCCTCCATTCACTTAGATTCCCTCCTTCAGACCCTCCTTCAAGTACCCTGGCCTTATCACAAATACCCCCGCGCTCCTACAGAAACTATCTGATAACGCTACAAGCTGCTGGGTTTTTGAGATACCGTCAGCATGGATCGTAATCCGACCATTCAAGATGAGGACGTCTCTCAGTTTTGTGCCATGACCGGAGTACGTCCTGAGCAAGTAAGTCTCTCTACCCTTCCGCGCATGCATGTATGTCCCGCTAACTTTATTGTCCCAAAGGCACAGGAGTACCTCGCAGCCAATGGAGGGGATCTTGAGGCTGCCGTGACGGAATTCTTTGCCGAACAAGATGAAGCTTTACAAGAGGGAAACACAGTTCCTGGTCAGACTCTTGGAGAAAGCGAATCGGCGCCGTCCGCAGGCCGGTCCCTAGCTGGCAGTTCCTCTCAGTCACCATCGTTTCCCCCCCAACAATCTTCCACATCACGCAAATCCGCCCCGAAAAAGAAGTTCGCGACGCTGGGTGATTTCTCCTCCGGCGGTGGCGATGACTCGGAGGAGGAAGATGACGCAGTCAACCGGGATTTGTTTGCTGGGGGTGAAAAGTCTGGATTAGCTGTGCAGAACCCCGATGATATCAAGAGGAAAATCATCGAAAAAGCAAAACGGTTAGTCAGGGCGCTTCCGTAAAGCAGACTTCTGTAGGTCGTAAAGGCTAAACATCTCTTAGGTCTCAGGTCCCAGCATCTGATAACTCGGAGCCCCGACGGTCTTTCTTTACAGGTCCCGCTCGCACGCTCGGCGGCGATGACACCCCCAGTCGGGTCATCGATGTTCCAAACGAACCTGCCGCGCGACTACCACAGCGCGTTCAGCGGACACTACACTTCTGGGCCGATGGGTTCTCCGTGGACGACGGTGATCTTTACCTCTCTGACGACCCCCGAAACGCGGAAATTCTCGATGGTATTCGCCAGGGTCGCGCTCCCCTTTCCATCATGAATGTGCAGCCGGGTCAGGAGGTCGATGTGGAGATCAAACAGCATGAGGAAAAATACGTCAAACCAAAGCCTAAATACAAGCCTTTCGCTGGTGCTGGACAGCGTCTCGGAAGCCCGACGCCGGGTGTGAGAACGCCAACCCCTCCCACTGCTCCTGCTGCCGGCCAGATCAACTCAGACCCTAGCAAGCCTGATGTGGATGAATCGCAGCCGATCGTCACCCTTCAGGTCCGTCTTGGTGACGGAACACGCCTGACTTCCCGATTCAACACTACGCATACGATTGGTGATGTCTATCAGTTTGTCTCTGCCGCCAGCTCGAATAGTCAGAGCCGTCCCTGGGTGCTGATGACCACATTTCCCAGTAAGGAGCTTACTGACAAGACGGCTGCCCTTGGAGATCTGGCTGAGTTCAAGCGAGGAGGTGTCGTGGTACAGAAATGGCAATGAAGAGTTAACACATAGTCCACCATTATAGAGTACACAGGCGGGGTGGGGCGGGCTCGATTGTTTTCAAAAGTCTGAAGCTGAGGGTCGAGAATATTAAAGTGTTCTACGAGACTCGAAGTTGTGGGATGATTCATGATAGCAAGCAATTTAGACCATTGACTTGTCACCCGAGAGCACTAATGAAGCATGAAAGATCCATGTTGAGTGATGACCATGACGGATGCTAGTATCTCAGAACTTGTATGATTCCAAAACCTTGGTCAATTTGAATCCTCCCTTGTAGAACCCCCGCGAGTAGATACTATATAAATGTTATCGGTATTCCAGTACTAGTACTACTATTAGGTACCTGAGTAAAAGAGATGGCGAACAGACCACCCAATGGGAATGATTCCAAGTCAATCGGTGATTGATAAGCAAAATCCACTCCGCCGAATGACGCAGAAATCCCGCGGCGAAATCGGCTTTTGCCATCTTATCAGCAACTCAACCAACTATGCATGGAGTTTGATATCCCTCCTACCACGCTCGTGAATAACAATTGCTCCCGGCAAAAATGCCTCTAGACGGCGTCAGAAATATCGTGCTGGTGAGTCTTACTCCAATTTCTTTAGAGACTCGAACAGTAAAGAAAAATTGTACCCCTCATCGCTTATCGATAACGATCGTCTCTGGGGTCCCTCCCATTCAGAACAAAGTGATGGCAGGCTGTATAGCGGGCACATTGACCATGAACAAGGTGAACAAGATATAATAACAAGGAGGACACTAACATGTATCAATACCATAGGTTCTATCCGGCAAAGGAGGCGTCGGCAAATCCTCCGTCACCCTCCAACTCGCACTGGCCCTCACCTTACAAGGCAAATCAGTCGGTATACTCGATATCGACCTAACAGGCCCCTCGATCCCCCGTCTCGTAGGACTTGAAGATGCGAAGATTACCCAGGCCCCCGGGGGCTGGGTCCCCGTAACAGTGCATCCGGCGTCCACAGATGACGGCGCACAACGAGGTTCCCTCCGCTGCATGTCACTGGGGTTCCTGCTCCGCGATCGCGGCGACGCTGTCATCTGGCGCGGACCGAAGAAAACAGCCATGATCCGACAGTTTCTGTCCGATGTTTACTGGGGGGAGACGGACTACCTGCTTGTGGATACGCCCCCTGGCACGAGTGATGAGCACATTGCTTTAGCGGAACAGTTACTTAAATCCGCAACTACGAATCCGGCTGCTGTGTCGTCGACTATGCCGAGATTAGCGGGCGCAGTTTTGGTTACCACACCCCAGGCGGTTGCGACGTCGGATGTTCGGAAGGAGGTGAATTTCTGTGTGAAGACGCAGATTCCGATGCTGGGTGTTATTGAGAATATGTCTGGTTATACGTGTCCGTGCTGTGGGGAGGTGACGAATCTGTTTTCGAGCGGCGGGGGGCAGGTGATGGCTCAGGAGACAGGAGTGAAGTTTCTGGGTGCTGTGCCTGTGGATATCCAGTTTGGGGAGTTGGTGGAGGGCAAGGTGGTTGACGAGAGTGACGATGAAGATGAGGGTGGTACGCAGTCGGAACAGAAGCAGGATGCGGTGGATGACAGGCCGTTGGTGGAGAGGTATAAGGATTGTTGGTCATATTCCCGGTTTGAGGGATTTGCGAAAACACTGCTGTCTGAGATAGAGGGTGGCGTGGCGAATTAGTCTTTTCTTCATGGTTCCTGCTGGTCTGGGTTCGTTGTTCAGAGGGCTTGTTCTCATGTTTATTATACCACCTTTGCATATGAGACTGGAGTTTATATTGGTCCTTAGGCACTGCGGTGTCTGATTCACTGTCTCACTATCTTTCTCCAAACAACACTAGGCACTGGACAGTGGAAGCTGGAAAAACTTCACATAATATTCATCACACATCTCACCATAGTCGTAATAGCAAAGATCATCAAATCTAGTACGTATCCTTCATAACATCCATCATCAACCGTGATCAATAGAAGCAGATACATTCACATCACAGAGAACAAGAATCGTTAATCGTCATTTGCATATACTCCGGACGTATCCGGGTCCTGCTGTCGCTCAAGCATCGCGCGCAGTCTCATCTCAGCTGTTGGCAGGGCTTGACCAAAATCCGACCCGTCGCGCACAGCATATTTCAGCCAACCAAATACTTCTGTCAAAAAAGATATTCCTACCGCCTGCAGACCCCAGCGGCTTCGCACTACAGCAGGATCCAGACTGTCTCCGAAAAGTGGCTGGCTTTGAATGATATGGGGTTCCGGTCCCAAAGTGCGTCCATCGGCCTGGGCATCTAGAAGAACCTCAGACACAAGGGCGGGTGTTTGAATAAGTCGTCTTCGATCGTCTGTGGTTGATTCAGCATCCGTTGCTAGCAATACCCGGCCGCATGACTTTGGCCTAGATGCGATTTCTCGTGTTGTAGGAAGTGGCCCCAGCGCGGAAGCTGAATCCATGGTAGTACTAAAGCCCATAGATCGTGGAGTGTCAGGGTGTACTTGAACAGACGACCCATCTCCACCGTAAAGCGAAGGCATTGATTGAAATCCCGCGGTACGAGATGCTGTACTTTGCCGGGCATTCTCTATGAGTCCAAATTGCATGGAGGAGGGGTGATCCCTCCCGTCCATAACACTATGGTCATCATCGTAAATAACCACATTGTCGTTGGCCTGTCTTTCATGCTCCGAGCTAGCTTCATCCACGGGCATTAGACCACCAGGAGGCGCCCGGATTTCGCCTAGGGGTGCTATATGGCTACCATATTCGTTGGCTAAACTGAGCTTACTCCGCCCACAGATCTCCCCGATTGAATCCAATGTATGGCGAATATTAGGCTCAATAGCCCGTAGGATGCCATCAATGCTGAAGTCCTCGTCTGAAGGAAGTTCTGGCCCTCGCCTTGTGGTTTCAGCGCGGCCTGCGAATGGGAACGACCGCCGTAGAGACATCTTTGACGTTTTCGCACTATCCCCAGGGCCGCCGGAATAGGCCCGAACCAGGACGGGCTGCGAGGGTGAAGTTGAATGGCCACCGCCAGTTTGGGTTGCTTGTTGGTGACTCCAAGAGAGGGTCCTGGAACTTTCACTCAAGTGACGCAAAGAAGTCGTGCGATACGCTTGGGAAGAGTCGTCCAGAGCTGACTCATAACGATAAGAGTTTGCTTGCTGCGATGGACCAGCAGTGTCAACGACTGGGTGGGAGTGAGCAAGAGGAAACCGAGGCCATCTCTGACGTGACAAGGACGAATGGATTTCATCAGGGTGGGTGAACAGTCTTCTGCCCGACTTATAATCCATTGTACGGACAAGGTTCTTTGCAACCACTTGTCGTCGATGCAGTGTTCGTCTCTGTATGTACCGAGCTCACTAAGTGATGCAGGAGACCGCAGAGGGAATAATGCAAGTAACTTCACCAGCGGGACTTGGTCACGAACCCCCCCTCTCACACCAGTTCGCAGCAAGTCGTTGAACAGCAGTGTATACCTGTCAGACAGTAGTAGAGAGGTTTCTGAGCCACGTATACACGCCGCCATGCATTACTTGGAGGCACGGCTGCAAATGAGACACGCAAAGAATGTAACGGGGGGCATACATCAAGGGAGCATGATCACACTTGTTGCAGAACGGGAGCTGCCGGATAATACGCTGATTGACTGTGGTTGTCGGGAAGACGCAGTTCATGCGTTGGTCGAATAATAATAAGTTTAATAGTTCAGCCGGTGAAACCAAATCCGTCGCTGAAATACAATATTCTACCCCCTCCTTGAGTCACTACAGCTAGATATATCTTTTTTCTTTCTTTCTTTTTTTTTTTAACTTTTTTAATTGTTCATCTTTTCCTTTTCCTTTTTCTTTGCTCTTCTAACGATATATCTTGACATCTCTCGAATTCCCTATAGATAGGGCTCGAAGCCGGGGATTCGGGTGTATTACAGCAACACCGAAGAGCGACTTGGCAGGTATAACATGAATGTTGCCAGAGCTTCAATATACTACTTTCTCCCACGCTTCTGGTCCCAACAAGCGCAAAACCAGATGTATACTAGTTCTCTATAGATCCGTTTCATGGTTGAATTGGTGGAACCAGACCGTAAAGGGAAAGCGTTCCAAAGGTCGGGTTCCGGCCAACTCCTTCAAACTTACCCCAGAGCCCGAAACTACCTCCTGCAACTACTCCACAACAAAAGGTTCTTTTCCAAACTGATATTGACGAACTCCCGGTGGATCTTTGCGCATTTCCAAACTTTCTTTCACCGCTCCACTTGTACGCGTAAAGATTGCAATGAATAAGTTTCGCGTATGCAAACCCCCAGTTTTGATCGCTGGTCCCCCGCCATTGACGCTTTTTTGGATTAACCGTAATGCGACAGTTTGGCGACTCGGACGAGTCTGCCTCTGACCTCGACGACGATACCTCTGGACTTCCCTTTCCGGAGCCATTGTCCCGTTCTTCCTTTCTCGCCCCCGACTTTGACCCCGCAAAATACCTGTCCTCCCTGACAAATCGACACCAGAGCCTTGAAGACCTACGGCAGGAATTACGTGACCTGGACCAACTGCTGAGTCGGGAGTTACTGGATCTGGTAAATGAGAATTACCAGGATTTCTTGTCGCTTGGGATTGCACTGCGAGGAGGGGAAGAGAAGGTAGAACAAGTCCGAGTTGGACTGTTGGCATTCCAGCGGGATGTCCAGTCCATCCGCGATAAGGTTGACGCCCGGTATCGAGAGGTAGAGCAGCTGGTGGAAGAGAAGAAGCGCCTACGGAAGGATGCAAATATCGGGAGGGCTTTGTTGGATTACGCCGATCGGGTTGACGAACTGGAAAGAAAATTGATGATTGGAGACACCACACCTGCCCGCCAAGGCGACCATGCTAAGGACCTCGATACGGACTCCGATCTACTGGACAGCGAAAGCGAAGATAGCGAAGATGGAGAAATCCCGAACGAGACATCAGCCACGCCCCTGGTATCACTGAAGAGGCTCGAACATCACATTCAAAAATACGTCTATTTGACAAGACTGTCGTCGCGGATAGGTGACGATCATCCGTTCTTGGTCAGTCAACAGTCGCGACTGTCGAAGATCAGATCGGCAATACTCTTGGACCTTAAAACTGCGCTCGAACAGGCGAAGATCGCGGGCGAAAAACGGGATACAAAAACGCTGGCCGTATTGCGTCTCTACAAACTCATGGGCGAGGACACCAGTGCAGTATCTGCCCTGAAGAATCTGAAAACATAGAACCCGTCTGGTACATGGACTAGGCTTTTGCATAGCGTTGGCGTTTGGGGTGTTGGGTTCTTCAGGAATAGATATGAAACAATACCATTATACACCGTGTCCTTCCTAATATAACATAATCTGTACACCCAAAAACGCAAAGACTTGAAGCTATTTTACAGACCGCTCAAAGATGCAGTATCGGGGGAATTATCGGACTTGAACTCTCCGTTGAGACTGAAACCAGGGCCATTGGTCGAGCTCAGCACCTAATAATAGTCAGCTAGGATGATACGTGTGGCTTCAGGGTAGAGGCTAGCCTACCACTTCATAGATCTCCTTGTTTATGCGGTCGTTGAGGCCAGCCGCATCCTTCTTGATCTGTTCGAGAGTGGCGCGCAGATTGTCTCGCAACTGCTCAGGGGTGAATGCCAGCTGCCCAATTGGAAGTCGAATGACAGCATCACGCTCCCTGTATACCGTACCGCCACGCAGCATTTCAACTCTCGAAGCGACGTCTTCAACAACGGTACCTGTCTTTGCGCTGGGCATCAGTCCTCTAGGACCGAGGACCCTACCCAGTCCGGCCCTGTTCAAGGCCTCCAAGCTATCAGGGTGACAGATCAGGCGATCGAACTCAATGATGCCCTTTTTCACATTATCAAAAACCTCTTGTTCTCCAACTAGGACGGCTCCTGCCGCACGAGCCTCCTTCTCATGTCTAGACCCAGCAGGGCAGACGACACAAATCCGCGATTCTGTTTGGACTGAATGAGGAAACCGGAGCATGTTGCGGATCACTGGACCGTCTTTCATCGTCTTCAACCGGACGTGGACTTCGTATTTGGAGGTAGCTGGTTCGTGCCCGACTTCGAACGCGCGAAGGTACCTAGAGAGCAGAACAGATTCCGTGTCAGCAAAAAGGTGAGATGCGGGCATGGCAAGACACGTTGTACGTACCTCATGGCATCGCAAAGCGCGAATTGATCCATATCCTTCAGATCCCTTTGTTTGAACTCTCGTGCACCCTTCTTTGTCTTCTTACTCTTTTCCTTGTTCTTTTTACCTTGTGCTTGAGGATTGTTCTTTGCTCCTCGAACCTGCTGAAAGCTGGAGAGGAGAGGGGCCATTGACCCCTGGCGAAGCGGAGACCGGCATGACGACAAGAGACTCCTTGCCGCGGTGGGCATGAGTGATCCGTAGGAAGCCATTGCGTTGGCTATAAGATGTTGACTTTCGGTGTTCTTGCGGAAAGGGAATGTTTTCTGCCCGAGAGCTCTCCGACTTGCGGGCGGCGGGCGGAGAAATGTGACGCCGGCGGAACCCCAATTGAGTCAATGCCCCTCCAAATATTTCACGATACTCTTTTCCCCACCATAGAAGCTCTAGACGGATTCATTCGGATTTTTACCAGTGAATTCGGAGCCATCATGTCTAACATGCAGTTGACCTTGGCCGCAAAGGCCAGCCAGGCTGCTTTGCTCCCTGTTCTTCTGGTTGCAACCTCTATCAATGAAGCACGGCCATCCCCGGTGATTAACATCACCTACGAGGATAAGGCTGTTCTTGAACAGGGCGACAAGGCTGTTGTTCAGTTCACGGGTGCTAGCGGAGCTCCTGTTTTCGGACCTGTGAACGCTATCCAGGAGTTGCTCAAGGACTTTCCATTCCTCAACGCGAAGGATCAGAAGCTGGTACGTTACATATATCTGCAGGCAATCTATGGTTGCTGCCCTTCTACGTACGGCCTGAAGTACTTCCTCTAACAATGCTAGTAGGAGAACGAGTGGCTTTCTCAGCTTGATACCTTTACTACCCTCGACTTCAAGGCCCTCGATCCTTTGCTCCAGGGCCTTAATACCCATCTTCTTCTCCGGTCCTTCGTCGTCGGATACTCGCTTTCCACAGCTGACATTGCCCTGTGGGGTGCTCTCCGCGGAAACCGTGTCGCCGTCTCTGCTATCAGAAAGGGAGCTCTTGTCAACGTGACTCGTTGGTTTAGCTTCTTGGAAGATCTCTGTCCGTGGGCCACATCTGCTCTTGAGGCGCTGAATGCCGCAGCAAAGGAAAAGAAGGCCACCAAGGGCAAGGAAGGCAGTGCTAACTACGATGTTGCGCTTCTGAACACTGATAAGGGTGTTGTGACCCGGTTTCCCCCTGAGCCTTCAGGATATCTCCACATTGGTCACGCCAAGGCAGCTCTTCTCAACGATTACTTCGCCCACGAGAAGTACAATGGCACATTGCTTGTCCGCTTCGATGATAGTGAGTGAACCCCCGCCCTACAATATCCTTGACAACTTTCTCACATCTATCAAAGCCAACCCTACCAAGGAAAACTCTGAGTTCCAGGATGCTATCCTTGAAGATCTTGCTCTCATGGGTATCAAGGCCGACAAGATGAGCTATACTAGTGACTACTTTGAACAGCTCTACGAGTATGGTGTGCAGATCATCAAGGATGGAAAAGCATACGCCGACGATACAGATAAGGAGACTATGGCGGCGCAGAGAATGGACGGTCTGCCTAGTAAGCGTCGTGATGCCACTGTTGAGGAGAACCTTGCTCGATTCGAGGAAATGAAAAAGGGCACTCCTGAGGGTCTTGGATGGTGTATTCGTGCCAAGGTATTTAAGGCTTATATCTTCACTTCAGGAAAACCTTTCTCACATCAGTCTTTAGATCTCTGCCGACGACAAGAACAAGGCTCTTAGAGATCCTGTTATCTACCGCTCCAACCCCGACCCTCACCACCGCACGGGCACCAAGTGGAAGATTTATCCCACTTATGACTTTGCATGCCCTATTGTCGACTCTATTGAAGGTGTTACTCATGCTCTTCGAACCAATGAGTACCGTGACCGGAACCCTCAGTACCAATGGATGCAGGACGCCCTCAAACTCCGCTCGGTGCAGATCTGGGACTTTGCTCGCATGAACTTCATCCGAACCCTTCTGTCCAAGCGCAAGCTTACTAAGCTTGTTAACGAGGGCGTTGTCTGGGGCTGGGATGACCCTAGGTTCCCTACAATCCGTGGTATCCGTAGACGAGGCATGACCATCCCTGCCCTGAGGGAGTTCATTCTCAGGCAAGGCCCTAGCAAGAACATCACGAACCTTGACTGGACCCTCATCTGGGCGACAAACAAGAAGTACATTGACCCAGTTGCACCCCGCCATACCGCTCTCCTTCAGAAGGACGCTGTCAAGACAACTATTAAGGGAGCTCCCGCACCCTACACTGAAGAGAAGCCCAAGCATATTAAGAACCCTTCAGTTGGCACGAAGAAGGTCGCCTACAGTGGCTCCATCCTCCTTGAGCAGGAGGATGCCAAGAGCTTCAAGCAGGGTGAGGAGATCACCTTGATGAACTGGGGCAATGCGATTGTGCGCCAGATCGTGACTGACCCAAGCTCCGGTGTTGTTAAGGAGCTTGAGTTGGAGCTGCACCTGGAAGGTGATTTCAAGAAGACTGAGAAGAAGGTCACTTGGCTGTCTACTGACCAGGACCTGGTCCCAGTGGAATTGGTCGACTTCGACTACCTTCTCAACAAGGACACCTTGCAGGAGGATGATGCTCTTGAGGACGTCCTGAACAGGAACACTGAGTTCAGGGAGAGTGCTACTGCTGACTGCAATGTTGCCGAGTTGAAGGAGGGCGACATCATCCAGTTTGAGCGTAAGGGATTTTACCGTGTGGACAAGGCTTATGCACCGGGCCAGCCGGCTGTTTTGTTCTACATCCCTACGGGAAAGACCGGCGGTAAATAAGTGTGCAGTCTCATAAGTATGAGTCACGAAGATATGCTAGAAGAAGGTTGGAAATAAAAAGTCCATTACGCAGACCCGTCCGAAATGGTCACATAGTAGTATGATTATACGTTGTAACCTGGCTGTAGCAGCCACAGAAGTTAAACCGGACAAATAAACTTCGTCGCATCCAAAGTCTCCACGAGCAGTCCGTTCGGCACTACAAAATGAGCCAAGCTGCATAGCTGATCAGGTTGGATCAAAAATTAAAACGTAAGGGGTAGCTTGGGAAGTAACGTAGCCATGAGGGGAAGTATGTAGGATTGAGATTTCAATACAACACCAGACATGATAGAGTGGATGATGAGAGGATTACGTCGTGCAATCATTACCCGGAACGTGAAGGACGTTTTGATGTTGGAATTAAAATTTATATCCCGGTTCAGGTTACATTTGAAGTGTCAGATGGGGGACCTAACGGCTAAGGCATTCACTGTTAGCGCCGATCACTTGACGTCTCCATCCAGAATTCCACTCTTTCCACTCTTTCCACTCTTTCCCCGCAGCCTCTCCGATATCTTCTCATCATTGGCTCATAGGCTTTCGTGGTGGTTGTTGCACTCGATTATAAGCCAGCAAGAATGAAGCATTTCGAGCTCTCGTGTTCCCACTGTCCCTTCCCATGCTTACCCCACCCTCTGTCATCGTCTTATAGGAGGTCTCCTGGTCAGATCTTCCCGTGGGTCCCGGCTCTCTTTCCGCTGGCATATCAAGTCTAGAACCCTGGATATGCTCATCGCGTCATGCGGTTCTTCTAGAGTCAATTCTTTGCGTTGTGTATCTGACTGTCTGGGCATAGAAATGCTGGAGCGAATGAGTTCTGATGTTTCAACGGCCCCTCGATCATATACTTCAACCGGGTTATCCCGGATAGGTCACCACCGTCTCATACGTCAAGACCATCAAGGAGTCGTCGAATCAACCTACCATGTCCTTAATTCATATCACAAATTGACTTTGCCCTCGACCGGTGCATGCAGCCTTGTCTGGTCAAAGTACAGTAGGGGCTTGACCTCTACCTTACTTAACCTCTAGCCGGAAGCTTCCTAGGATCTACTACGTCAGCATGATAGTCCGTATGTAGTATGACTGTCCCAATCCGTCTAAGGGTTGGCCCTGGACATGGAGCGGGTGGTTATTGTAGCCCCCCTATGTCCTCGCGGAAGGGAAAAGCGCAAAATCCTTGCGCATTCTTGCTCTTACTAGTTGCCTTATGGGTAGATCCTTCTCGTTCGCTGTATGTTCAATCATTCTGAGGGGTCGCTCATTGTTGTAACCCCATTCGCTCACTTTAGCCGGTTGAGTAGGCATTGAGCACATCTGGCAAGGAACCGAGAAAGATGGCCGAGCAAGGCGGTGCCTCGAATGACGTGGAACGGGTAGCTCAAGCACCGGGATCTCAGGGTCGACTTTCTACCTCCGAAGGACGCGCGTCTAGGCGTATATCCCGAGTTTCTTACAAGGAAGACTGGGCCAATCTTGACGAATATGGCAAGCTTGTCAAGTACGCATCGACCTATCGCGAAGACGGCCGAGGCGATGAAACACAGGGAGAGGAAGAGGTGAGAAGAGTCTGGTATGCTCCCTGGAAGAAACGCAAGGTCCTTGTTCGACATGTGGGCCAAGACGATGGCCAGTTCCCGGACGACTGGCTCCTCACCGACATCCATCAAGGTCTGTCCAGCGATGAGGTTGGAAATAGGCGTCGCAGAGCGGGATGGAACGAGCTGGTGTCGGAGAAGGAGAACCCCATCGCCAAGATCTTGTCATACTTTAGGGGCCCTATCTTGTATGGTGAGTCATATCGGCTTACACTAGGCGCTTTCTATTCCATTGAGAGATTAATGCACTGACCTGTCGCAGTTATGGAGCTGGCCGTCCTTCTTGCAGCAGGTCTCGATGATTGGATCGATTTCGGTGTCATCATTGGTATCCTGTGTCTGAACGCGGCTGTCGGTTGGTACCAAGAGAAACAAGCCGCCGATGTTGTCGCCAGCCTCAAGGGAGATATTGCAATGAGGACAACGGTCGTCCGTGATGGCCAGGAACAGGAGATTCTGGCCCGTGAGCTCGTGCCCGGTGATGTGGTATGCTAGGCAATCTCAATCTGACCTCTCTGAATCCTGCGCTGGGATACTAACACAGATGGCAGATCATAATTGGCGACGGCCAAGTTGTGCCCGCTGATGCACGGATCATTTGCGATGTGAAAGATCCAAACGGATGGGAAGAATTCAAGATAATGCAAAATCAGGGTGACCTGAGCAGCACGTCCGAATCCGACATTGAAGAAGCTGAAGGTGAAAAGAAAAAGAATAAAGAAGGTGATGAGGAAACGCCACAGAAGCCCAAGAAACGAGGTTATCCTATCCTAGCCTGTGATCATTCGGCTATCACCGGAGAGTCTCTGGCAGTTGATCGTTATATGGGTGAAATGATCTATTACACGACAGGGTGTAAGCGTGGCAAAGCATATGCCGTTGTACAAACTTCTGCAAAGCTCTCGTTCGTGGGTAGAACAGCGACCATGGTGCAGGCGGCCCAAGGTGCAGGTCATTTCGAAAAGGTCATGGATAACATCGGTACCTCGCTTCTCATCCTCGTCATGGCGTGGATCCTGGCTGCATGGATTGGCGGTTTCTTCCGGCATATCCCAATTGCTTCACCTCGCCAGCAAACGCTTCTCCACTACACTCTGGCTTTGTTGATTGTCGGCGTCCCTGTCGGCCTTCCCGTCGTTACAACAACTACCATGGCTGTAGGGGCAGCATACCTTGCAAAGAAAAAGGCTATTGTGCAGAAGCTTACTGCAATTGAGTCGCTCGCGGTAGGTTGCGAGTAATATCCTCTGTATGGAAATGCTAATAGCTTACCAGGGTGTTGATGTCTTGTGTTCCGATAAAACCGGCACCCTTACAGCAAATAAGCTGAGCATTCGAAACCCATATGTGGCTGAAGGTGTGGATGTCGACTGGATGTTTGCCGTGGCAGTTTTAGCGTCATCCCACAACATCGATTCGCTAGACCCGATTGACAAGGTTACTATTCTGACCCTCAGGCAGTACCCTAAGGCACGGGAGATCCTGCGCAGAGGGTGGAAGACAGAGAAATTCCAGCCATTTGACCCGGTTTCGAAGCGTATTGTGACGATTGCCAGTTGTAATGGAATCAGATATACTTGCACCAAGGGCGCACCCAAGGCAGTGCTTCAGTTGACAAACTGTTCTAAACAGACCGCCGATTTGTACAAAGCCAAAGCGCAGGAATTTGCACACAGAGGCTTCCGTTCTCTGGGAGTTGCTGTCCAGAAAGAAGGAGAAGAATGGACCCTCCTCGGCATGCTACCGATGTTTGATCCACCCCGAGAGGACACGGCGCAAACAATCCATGAGGCGCAGAATTTGGGCATCAGCGTCAAAATGCTTACAGGTGACGCATTAGCCATCGCTAAGGAGACTTGCAAGATGCTCGCCCTCGGAACCAAAGTATACAATTCCGATAAACTCATTCATGGAGGGCTTAGCGGCGCAATGGCAGGAGACTTAGTCGAAAAAGCAGATGGGTTTGCAGAGGTGTTCCCTGAACACAAATATCAAGTTGTTCAGATGCTTCAGGACCGAGGCCATCTCACCGCGATGACTGGTGACGGTGTTAATGATGCACCTTCGTTGAAGAAATCCGACTGTGGTATTGCAGTAGAAGGAGCTACGGAGGCAGCACAATCGGCTTCGGACATTGTCTTCTTGGAGCCAGGCCTGTCAACGATTATTGATTCGATTAAAGTTGCGCGACAAATATTCCATCGCATGAAAGCATACATCCAATATCGTATTGCTCTCTGCTTACATTTAGAGATCTACCTGGTCACGACAATGATCATTCTCAACGAGAGTATTCGTGTCGAGTTGGTGGTCTTCCTTGCTCTGTTTGCTGACCTTGCCACTGTTGCAGTCGCTTATGATAATGCATCGTTTGAGCTGCGGCCTGTGCAATGGCAACTTCCGAAGATCTGGTTTATTTCATGCCTGTTGGGCCTTTTGCTTGCCCTGGGAACTTGGGTAGTTCGCGGCACTATGTTCCTCCCATCGGGTGGTATTATTCAGAACTGGGGCTCGATCCAAGAAGTGATCTTCCTCGAAGTTGCTCTCACAGAAAACTGGCTTATCTTCATTACGCGTGGCGCCGACACGTGGCCTTCAATCCATCTAGTTACCGCCATTCTGGGAGTGGATGTTTTGGCGACCATGTTCTGCTTGTTTGGTTGGTTCACTAACGAAGATATGCCCACCAAGCCCGCCGACAAATTCGTTGAAACAACTAATGGCTGGACTGATATTGTCACGGTGGTCAGGATCTGGGGTTACTCTCTGGGCGTGACCATTGTTATTGCATTGGTATATTTCATGCTCAATACGTTCAAGTGGCTTGATGACCTGGGTCGAGAAAGGCGCGACAAGGGCGACCTTAAAATTGAAAATCTGCTTGGTCATCTTGCCCGCTTGACCGTTGAGTATGAGAGGCCTGGACAGCCGCCAGCTCGGTTTTACTTGGCTGCTCCTAAGGAGGAAGAGGAGGTTGAGTAATGTAACCTCCTTGATGCGTCTTGTGTCATTTTACAATCCTTGAGTGATTGGAACGCGCAACATAACTACAGCAGTGGAAAGGTTATCAGCTCATGATAGGTATGGACGGAGGGCCATACAAAATCCACAGATCATTAATCTTTTGTTAATCACTAATAGTTCCATTAAGGAAGGATTCTGTAATCTAACTGAATATCTCCACGTGCGGTCTTGAATCGTGAAAGGCTTCAGGTCGTACCTTCCAGTATCCTCTAGGCTAGATTAAAATCGAATTATACTATTAAACCTATATCATAGATATGGAAGAGCAGATAAGAGCTCTTGTATACCAGCAAGAACTGTCGATAGTCATCCATCACATGGATTGATCACAGTCCTCTGGCGCGGTTGTAGATCTTCTCCATATCATTGCCCATACGCTTTTCAACCTCCGCCTCCACGAGGTCATCACGCTTGCCAATGGCCGCGTTAGACTCCTCCTTAGCCATTTCGACTGCGGCACGCAGGTCAGCATTGAACAAGATGGTACAATAGTAGCTGAAAGGAAAACAGAAAGAACATACCATGAGCAAAGACAGCAGCCTTCTTACCACTGAACATAGCATGAGGCACGTTGGTGCTGTTATCACTGTTGCAGTCGCCAACAGCAAAGACACCAGGCACACTAGTCCTCATGCCAGGGTTGGTAGTGGCATCGATCTTGTTACCGAGCATAGCCAGGCCCAGCTGCTTGGGAAGATCCGACCGCTGCTCACTGGGGTAGTTGGTGATGAAAGCATTACGATCAATGGACGAGCCATTGGCGAAATGAACACGGAAGATATCAATCTGCCTGGTACCATTCCTGTCCTTCACCTGGCCGCCGTCCTGGATCCGCTCGAAGGACGCGATTGTTTCGTTCTCCAGACGCACGTTGTACGCCTCCAGCTGCGCCTCCCAGTTTGGGTATTTCTTCGCCAATGCGGCCTCCTGGTCCGGCGTCTGCGTGCCGTTCACGAAGGCAATGATGTCCGTGTTCAGGGTGTATACTTCCAACACGCTGCCGACAACATCAGGGAGCGCACCCAGGATACCGAACGGCTGGTCCCGGTGCTCGTACCCGTCGCACCACGGGCACCAGTACACACCCTTACCCCAGGCTTCCTCGAGACCCGGTACATCGGGGAGGATATCCACGAGACCCGTGCCCAGGACGACTTTGCGGGCGGTGTACGCCTTGCCGTCGGCGTCTTGGGCGCGGAAGTACGAGGTGTTGGAGGCCTCGTCAGAGACAGCCTCGATGGTGTTGACTCTTTTGTCAATGAAGGTTGCGGTGTCGTACCGCGAGATCTGCTCTCGGGCCAGACCGCGGAATTCGCTGGGTACGGTACCTTTAGTTCACCGGTATGTTAGTCCCGGTCCCTGTGAATACTTTCGGGAAGAGGTTTTGATTGGAGTGTGGGTCTGTCCATACCATCATTGCCGATCACATCGTGCATGTTCCGGGTCGCAGCATTGCGATACTCATGGGAGTCGAAGAGGGCCGTCTTGCGCCTTACACGGGATAAACCGCTAAGCGCAGAGAGACCTGCGGGGCCACCTCCTACGACGATCACTTCATAGTCGGTTTGAGGGACGGATGCCGCGAGGGCAACGGTGAGGGAGGAGAAGAGAGTGTAGAAAAGAGACTTGGGAGCCATTTTGAACGATCAACACCCGAGGACAAGGAATGATAGACGGCAGAAAGAAGGGAGGGGATCCATGAATGGTTTAAGTACTGTCAGAACATCTGAGCAGGATTCAGCAGCGCAAGCCCACTGCCCAGCTGAGAAGGATCATCATGCATTGCATGCTGCCAAGAGCAGGAAGCCCACTGTATGGCTGAATACCTAGTGAGACGACGTTGTACAACCGGATTGCATGCCCATGCACTTCAGAAGATACTGGATTGCTGGAATATATTGAAGGAAGGGGTCGTGCATATGCATGATTTGTTGGTTCTGCATGTCGAGGGCTTCTGGTGGTTTGAACAGCCTCGTGAGTGGAGGATGCGGAATGGCTCGCGGTGACCCTTTAATCAAGAGAATGTAAACTGAGAATATTTTAGTCAAGATGTCTACGAGTGGAGAGTCCGTGAGCTGAGGGGAACTGAATCAGATTGAGAACAAGGAGGATCGGCAGGGTCGAGAATCAATAGTTCATGCATGAGAGCGGATCCTGATGCGCTAATTGTTGCATCCTTCGAGGAATTGGGATCTGGATTCCTTGATTGTCTTCGTTCTTGACCCGGGCTGAAAGACACTCGCGGTATGAAAACCAATTATTGGATTGTTACGTGTAGGAAGTAATCAATGTGTGCTATGCAGGGCGGAGGGTGTGATGGATGAGGAATTAGTTGCATGAGCTGAAGGTCCATTTAATATCACACCACGTGCCGAGAGGTTGCCCTAACTGTCTGTCACTGGTAAGGGATAAATTGATTAAATTGTAAAAAAGTATCAGCCCGAGACAGCAAAGGATTAATGCCCTCACTTCTTATATACACCGTTCCATCCGCCAAGCCCACTAACTGACAAAAATATAAACATCGAACCCCTGACTACAAGGGAAAGGTAAATAATGCGGGCCTTTATCATCTATCGACCTATCACAGGATAAAATGAGGGAAGGCGATATCCATGGCGTAAAAGGTGTGCTGTGGAGTTGTTCAGAGCGCCTTTCACGCCATCCAAGAAACCCGTATTGCCGTAGGCCTGAGAAACATCCCACATCATAACGCCTCCAAAACTCTCAAACGACTTGCTATATGCGATCACCGGTTCCAGCTGCGACGCTGGGATGTAACCCGTACTCGCGGCACCCGTGTTTGCTGGGACACCAAGCAAGACCTTAGCTTTCTTGTTCTGAGATACAGTTTTCACCCAGTTGTCCCATTGCTCAAAGTTGAAGCTGCTTTGCGTTTGTTGGCCCGCTGAGAAAGAGTTGACTCCGCACCAATTGTTGTAGAATTGAACGAATACTGCGTCAATGGATACAGGCCCGTTGAGTATATCCTTGTCCGCGGCATCTGGGTACGGACATTGTGGTGCAGCAGTTAGAAAGTATTGCTTGGATTTGTCCGCGTCCGACAATTCGCGAAGCCGGTTCGCGAATGGTGCCATATTCTTGACGGATGCCTCGAAATCGAAGTCGAATCCATCAATGGTCGCATCACCGAATGGTCGACGGATCGTTGTGGAATTAGCTCGGACTGCGTGGATATCAGTGCCATTGAGACGGTTGAGACGGTTGAGACGACCGTTCCGGTAGCGAGACATTCCGTTATGAGAGGAGGCATTCAACAATGGACCCTTGGTTGTGGGAGGACCAAACGTCTGCCAGAGCAGGTCTGCACCAGCCTTAGCGGCAGATTCGGATTCAAAGCCTCCCTCACTATAGGTAGCACCACCAATCGACAGAAGGATGGTCTTGCCCTTCTTTTGGCAGGTGTCGATATCCGCACTGGTGTGGTTAGCTTTGTCACACACACTAAATGAAGCTCAGATGATGATGTACGTACCCTATCTGGGGACATTTCAGGAGGTTTGTGCCATCGAAGGTGGTGCAATTATCATTTGCATTGGAAAAGTCTATCTCTGGCGCACCCCCTGAACCATTAACCATCATAAGAAATGCAAGTACGATGACCTGACAGCAGGTGAGCGATATTCATCTAGTTCTCTGGTAAGAGGAAGCCTCACATCGATCTTCTCATCTAGAACTAGTTAGTTTCTGCACTAAATAAACCCTCCATGCACCGGTCTTACCATTACAATAGTACCCAAGTGGCTGTTGTGCCAATTCTCCATTTCCTCTGAACGAGTTCTGACCTAAACCACAAGGCAGCGTAAGTCAAATCCAGCTCAGTGCTGCTTTGTTATACGCACCCCAGTATACAACGACGTTGGAGGTGGAAGAAAGATCGAGTTTGGCGTATGCTCCTCCTAAAGAGGCCACAGCAATTGCTAAGGTGAGAAGGCTCTTAGCGAAATACATGTTCTCGCTTTTGATTCTTTCTTTCTCCAACAAACAGAACGACCGAGTGACCGAACACACTGGCTTTTTGGCGCCACCTGGTTGTCGAATAGCTCACAGCGTAGAAAATAAACTAATTAGACGTGCGCGATCGCTGACTTTAACTCCCATACCCCGTGTTATGGCTGCCAAAGAATGAATAGCATTGCTGTGGATGGAGACCTTGAGCATTCCACCAGACTGCCATATTTTGACCAAAGTTTCCTCAATAATGGACAACCTTCGCACATAAAGTAATGATTCTCTCTGTATGTCGATTAGATGCCGCCTTTCCATTAATGGCCAGTTTGCTCGCGTGCCTTTCGAAGTCGTTATCAGGGAACTAGGGATATCGGGCTAAGGAATGTTTCCTCTCCTTTTGGAAAGATACGCTGGTGATGGCCCACATATCGGGAGCTCCTACATACCCCGACTAGATATTGAAAGAGTTAGCGATCTTTCCATCAAAACAAGCTGAGCTATTATAGTTGTTGTCTGACTATCTCGGCCAAGATAGTCGTTCGACAAGAGCAACCTCAAAATCATAGGTTACGAGCCCTAGCGTCATGCGAGTCATGCCTGCTTATAGTTCATACGACCCCCTGTGCGTCTGCAGCACGCACCCCAGGCGCCACTTGACCATCTGAAAATGCAGGAACGATATAGTCAGCTAAACCCGCCTGATTAGACAATACAGACTTTTCGTCGTGTCGGCCTACTGTTGTGAAGTGTCAAGCGAGCACGGCCAGTGGGGACTATTACATGTCGGGCCGTTGACCGCGTAATGCATCCCGCTGTCAGACGATACATTGACCCCAGAAGGATACACGCAATCAAATGAGCAGGCGAATGGACTTGAGTTCCGTATTAGATAAGTCTTTGTACCAAAACCTTTGGTCGAGCCGAGGAATGCTCATCAATGCCACCTTGCCGATGAGATATGTAAAGCATGCGACCAGTGGCCTCTCGCACACGGCTATTATCCCTTCCATGCTCCATTCTCAAGGAAGTGAATATAGGCTTAGGGTATACGTAAACTAGGAAATGGATATCTCATCTGAGAGGTAGGAAGGTTGTGCAACTCGTGTTGGGAGGAAAGGGTGAACTTTATATTGGAGTAGTATGTGCTTTGCGCAGCACATCTTCGATCAGTCGCGGATTCGTGCTTTGGATGTGCCACGATATACTGAAAAGTTCGCCTGTTCACTCAGAGGATTGACACCAGACTGACGACCAAGGACACCATAGCCCAGGCCAAGCCTACCGATGAACCCCTACAACTCGTGTAATAGCCTCATCATTGCTCATTGCGCTGTCAATCACCCCCGCCACCTTGAGGACATCCACTACACCCTCGATGGTCTTCCGGTTTACGCCTCTGGTGCCCTGGACGAACTTGACATCCTTTAGCCATTCCGTAGCATCCTCCTCTACATAAGTACATCCCAGCTCTCCAGTACCAAGTAGCCTCACAGCCTGCGCTGTATCGGCCTCGAAATCCTTGATACCTTGGTCCAAGAGCTTGAACAGTTGTTGCAGCTTACCATCAACCTCCGGGTCTGGGAATACAGCTGTTGACGCCACGATCATCCAAGACGGCCACGGTGTGTAGATTTCTCCAATTTTCTTGAGTGGCGGATGGGGCTTCTCAGCTGTCGGGTGGAAGTACGGCTTCGTTGTGAAATGTTCCCACATGAAGAACTCAGCAGTAGGTTCAGGCTTCTTCTCCGGGTGAGAGGGATCGTACCCAGTCACTCCGTTGCGCAGAGCCTGGAAGGGTCCCAATGGGACGCTAGTCAAGGAATCGGGTTTCCAGCCGTGCTTCTGAGCAAGGACAAACGACATGATGTGAGAGCCACTGGAGATCTATTAGCACATGCATCTGTCCCTTTCCAATGTTCGTCCTCAAGTATTCGAAACACGGCAATCACGCATACCTTCCCAGTCGACTAACACCGACCCGCTTATCCTTCAGGTCGACAACATC